TTTATAAATTATAATTAATTTTATAAATAAATTTAAATTAGTTTTAAAATAGTTATAAATTAAACTATTATAAAATATTAGTTAAATTTAAAGCCTAACCTAAAACCTATTTAATAGGTATTAAAACCTTTATATAAAACTACTAATATTTAGGGTATTTTAATTTAATATTAATAAAATTTTTAAATTAATTTTAAACTAGTTATTAACCATTTTAAATAAATTTTTAAAATAAATTATAATAACTCTATTATTAATATAATATTTTTTTTAAAATATATTTATATAAAGTTAAAGCAATTATAATATTACTATATTTCTAAAAAAGTATATATTTAGTTATTAATATAATTATAAATTATAAATTATATTAAACTAGTTTTATATAAGTATAAAGCTATTTATATTTTAAATTAAAGTTTTTATAATTTTTATAAATTTATTTAATAAAATTATTTTTTTTAATAATACTAATTATATTTAACTTTATATAAGTCTTATATATTTATTTTTAAATTAGCCTAAAATTAGTTTTAATTTATATATATATAACTTATAGTTAGGACCTAATTTTTTAAATTAACTTTTATAAGGCGCTTTTTTAAAGGCTAAGCCTTTTTATAAAGGCAAGTTAAATAAGCCTTTATATTTAAATTTAAATTAATTAAAAACTAATAATAAATAAAATAGATATAAAATATATTATTTTTATTAATATTATTAATAATATTATTAAAGTTAGTAATAACCTAAATAATATAATTTAGCTTTACTTTTTTAATATAAACCTTTTTAATAATAATAATAATATTAGCCTAAGCCTAAGCCTTAGCCTATTTATATAAGTAAATTTTATAAAATTTAATATTATTAATATTAAAAACTAGTTTTAAATTAGTTAATAATTAATTTTAAAATTATATAAAATTCTATATATACTTTTATTTATTTTATATATTTTAATAATAATAATTTATAATAGCTTTATAAAACTTTAAAGCTAATTAAAAATTAATTTAAAGCTAAATATAATATATTAATTAATTATATTAATTTTTTATTTTTAAAGTACTTTTACCCTTATTAATATTAATAGTATTTTTTATTTAATTTTATAGTTATTATAAATATATTTATAAAAAAGAATATTAATATAGGGCTTTAAAATTAATTAAAACTAGCTTTAAAAGATATAAAGCTTTTATTATACCTTTTAAAAATATATTTTTATTTTTAATTATAATAGTAATAAAAATTTTACTATATTAGTAATTAATAATATATTTTTATAAATTATATATTTATTAATAGGGCTAGTAACCTAATATAAAACTAATTAAAAACTAATTTAAAATTTAATTTAAAATATTTATATTTTTAATTATAATAAAAATAAATAAAGTAATATTAATAGGGTGCTTTTTAAGTTGTAATATATTTTATAATTTTTTATATATATATATTAATTTTATTTTAAAAAGGCTTTAAACTAATTTTAATTTATTTATATTTATATTTAAAAGGGTTTTATATTATATTTAAAAGCCATTATAACTAGCTTTATTAATAAAAAAAAAAAAAGAAAAAATAATTATTTAAGTTAAAAAAAATTAATTTTAAAAAGGTAAGAAAATTTTTTTATAAGCTAAAAAAAAAAAAACTTATTATATTAATATTTTATTAATATTAACTATTACTATTTTACCTTTATTTTATTTATAATAGCTTTAAGTTTATTACTAACCCCTAGCTAACCTAAAATTAGTTTAATATTATTTTTAAATTAGGGTTAAGAATAATTTAAATACTTTATTTTCCCAAAATATAGTTATATAGTATTTTCTTTATATCTTTTTTGATTCCTGCTAGTGGCTTGGCGCTAAGAGGTTAGCCGAGCTTTTGCCAAGAGGTTAGCCGAGCTGGTAAGCCTGATTCTAGCTGCCCAGATATTTGGAACTATCATACAGCAGTCCACTTACTCACAGGACAAAATGTCCGGTTCTGTTGGCAGATAACAAGATGGACAACTCCGTACTGTTACTGAAGCCGTCCATACCGCAACACTTGCCCTGCGCGCACCCTGAACAGCCCGGCCCCGTTGCCCACGTGTCACTCCGCCGGTGGCTTCGGTTTCCCCTGACTTGTGAACACTCCACCCGCCCATGAGAGCCGCCGCTTACCGCTACATTGAAAGCCTCTGTTGCACCCCTACCTGTCTTTGTTTTGTTTACCTGCCGGAAGCCTTCCCCTAGCAGGACCGAGCAGAAATCGTCTCCGGCCCCACTGGGGTCCTCTAGAGCCTGGATGGGTAGGCAGGTAGGGTGCTGGGGGGGGGCCACTGTCTGGGGCCCTTGCCAGACGTCTGCCTTCCCTTGTCCCGGACTGGCGTGGAGACCTCGTTACATGCGCACAAAAACAGAGCGAGGGAGCACCAAAAAGACTTGTGTTGCCCAGGATGCCATTTACCATTTTGGAGAAACGGTGCAGAGATTTTTACAGATCATATCCTCCCCGGATGTCTCGGGGCTGGTCAAGCCACCGTCTGTCGGGTCGGGCCAGTTAGGGAAAAGAGGCAGCTGGTCAAGGAATGTGAATGGCTTGTCGCAATGATGATGAGACTACATACACTCAGTATGACATGCCCCTCCGCGTGTCCTGCATGCGTCTCGCAAGGCTTGGGCGATCGATCTTTGAGGCATGGCAGGCAGGCAGATGTATTTCTGGCAAAATGCCTCCCACCAGCCGAGGAGCTGGGAATTGCCAGGCTGCCACGTTTCGAGGCTGGCCTGCTGTGCGCCTACACCCGAGGCGGGCGAGATGAGCTGGTTGGTTGATGGGGATGCACTCGCTACCGTCCGAGCCTGCCAGCTGCATGTTGGGTGTTCCTAAGGTCCAGGAATAGTGCCCCTGGCGGCTGTGTTGATGGGGTCATTGTTACCACAGCTGCCACGCTGCCACGCTGCCACGGAAGTGCTGACGGTGGGGAGTTATTTTGGGGCCCCTGCGCAGTCACTCTGATCTGACACTCTGCATCGTTCCTGGCCACATCACAATAGGCACGGCACCCCAGGCATCGGGTCATGCATTGCGAAAAGAGAAGACGGTCGCCCCCCGCACACACCGGAGTGCTTTGAGGCTATCACGGCGGAAGTTTGAGCGCTGACGCTGCTGAACGGCAACGTGCCGGCCCGTGAGTAATTTCCGCCTGGGTACCAAGCAGAACTGGTAGGCACTTTCTGGGCTGCTGGGGCGCTGCGATTTCACAAGGAAGGTTTTGGGCACCAAGGGCCCAAGGGGTGTGGAGCGCAGAAGCGCAATAGAAGGGGAATAGAAGCGGCAGACGGCCAGGGGTGGACTAGGCGGGAAGTGAGGGAGGAAAACGTCCGGCAGCATTTGTCCGTGGAAAAAGGACACAGGGTCAGAAAAGGAACATGGTGCAGTGGCCTGGGTACTGGGTGAGTACCAGACAGGCACATGAGACGGCGCCCAAGCCGCGGGTCAAAGCAATGTTTATGCCGGTGGTTGTTTTGTATCAGTGTCAGTGCCCTCCGTTTCGTTCTGTGTCTCCTCCGTGTCTGTTTCGGCCCCAGCGTCCAGCCCATCTGGTTGTCACCGAGCGATGGAGATGGAGTGGCACACATCGGGTCATCCTCTGAGCCACATTGGCCCGGAGGATCCAGGAACCAGACCTGACATTCTGCCATTTGCCGTGTGCTGTCCGGAGTAGTGCAGTGTAGGATTTGGACCAGCGTCGCATCGCAGGCCGTCCACCTAACCGTGCCTGCCTTGAACCGGTGCTGACAGGAGGACGTAGATTTCGGCGAGGCGAACCAAGGCCGAGATCGAGGTTCGGGTCGGGAGTAGCAGGCGGGCGATGGCCGTTTTTGTCCCTCGCCATCCATTCCATTCTACGAGCTGCGATACCATGCCAGACCATGCCAGACCATGCCAGACCATACCCATAGAATGAATCACTCCCAGGCCCGCCTCTCAAAAGCTGACTGTGGCCGTCGCCGATACGAAGGGTCCCCGTGCTTAGGAGGCCCAACAGCCCTGTTTTTTGACACAGTGCCTCGATCATCAGTCGTCGGGGCGAAAATGAACAAGGAAGAGCTCTCGGATTCCGTGGGACGTGGCCCATGGCAACCGGGAAATGTTTGCTGCGCCTGGTCTCCATGGGATGTGGGCTCTGAGGATAGAGTTCGTCGTGTCTGTGTGAAGACTTTTTTTTTTCTTTTTTCTTTTTTTTTTCTTTGTCTGTCTGTCTTTGGTTTTTTTTTGGCTTGCAGCTGGCACGCGACAGCATACATTCACCAGTCATGCTAGCTACCTGGGTGACTCCCGAGGTCTCGAGAAAATGGCAGCTTCCTCGGGATGTGGAGAGTCGGACAGGGAGCGGAGCGACAGACAGACAGATAGACAGACAGACAGACGGCTCCAGTTGCCTACATGGGCAGGCTGTCAATCTTCTGAGGGACCGTTCTCGGTAGCCGGATTGTGCCACACACACACACAGACAGACACAGAAAGAGGCGTCATTAACTGTTTCCAAGTCAGCAGGGGAGGGAGGCCCAGAAGGTCGAGAAGGCGGCCTACCACGCCCCTTCCGTACATATCCTCGGCAACGGAGGGAGGCATCTGGGCATCTGCTGCACAGTACCTGGACCAGACTCCCGTAGGTACGGTCAGACAGGTGCTAGGGCACCGCCAAGGAAACCTAGGTACACACCTTCCGCGCCGTACCCTTGCCTGTACCTTCACCGTACCCTACCGTGGGCCCGCAGACCCGGCAGGGCAGAGAAACGGCTGGGCCCCTCCCCTGCAAGGCAAGAAGGTACTTTACGGATAGACTAGGCAGGCCTACCTGGAAGGGCTGGACGAGGCGTGTGTAGGTGCCATCGACATCATCTCTCTCTTCGCTCTCTCTCCGTCCATGCCCCATGCCCCCAGTCCTGCCAGTCCCCCCCCAGTCCCCCCAAATCCCACCCTGCCGTACAGTAGTCGCCTTCCTCGAAGGTACTTGTTGCTGCACTCACACTCACCTGGCTACTACATCTACCACCTCCTCCACCACCAAATCCCACCCCTTTTTTGACTTTTGCTCTACGCAAACACAAGAGACAACGACACACAAAGACTCCCGGGTGGAACTGGATGCCTTTGTCATCTGCTGCTGCACCGCGCTTCGCATCGCATCGCATAGCAGCCCAGCGTACCGAATCGTGCATCCATCCCTCCCTCTCCAACATTCCCCAAATCCGTCGACCACAGCAGCGGTAGCTCTGGATCTAGGCCCATAGGTGACCTCACCACCCGCCACCTCGCGGACACGACCACAACCACGGCCAACTCCTCCTCCTGCCAAAACCCACGGCCTGTCTGCCTGCCTGCCTGCCTGCCTGCCTGCAAAGTGGGCATTCTCCTCAAACGGCTTCTTTTTGCCCACCTTGAGGCGGCGTGGATATCTGGGTATCCAGACTGGACCCTCCTGCACCTCCCTCCCACCACTTCATTGGCCCAGAGCAGCAGTTGCTGTCGCAGGCAAACTGGGTACGGCTCGGTACGATCGACGCGAGACACGCTGGTCTACAACGAGGAATCAGGATCGGCCACGATACATGTGCCCCGGCCACTCACAGCTGCAGTCAATCATGATTGATCCGCCTCGACACATCACTACCTATCCAGCGAGTTGAGACATAACGACACTTTATCCCAGCCCGCATTCCTCACCTCTACCTGCCCTACCCTGTCCTTCGGGGCTCCCACGGATGCCATTTTGCACCCACCGACAACCACTGTCGTCAAGATGGACACGACAGCCACCAGCGCGGCCGATTCTGCGGGTGACAATTCGCATGTGCCACCTCGCTTCAACCGCGAGCCCTCGAGCGTTTCCACGGTGAAGGGCGAGACCACCACTTTGCCCTCTCAGCCAGCAACGCAGACATCGACTTCTAAACCCTCGCCGCTGGCCTCTCGTGAGACCTCTCCTGGCCGCCAGTCCATACGCCCGGCGGCTTCCAGGAATGCCTCTGCGGCTGGCAGCACGAGATCCCGCAAGAGCAGCTCGCAGGAAACCAGCCCACAAAGAACCCACTCGAAAACACGAGCCCCAAGTGCCTCGGCTACTGGCAAGATATCTTCTTCCACAACGCCGAGCCTGGGCCCGGTCAACACCGATGCGAACCCCCGTGTCAATGCTCCTCAAAGATCGCCCGTCACCGCCGAGCACTTGAAAGAAAGCCCACGCTGGCCGGTCTCTCCACGGCTTCGATCTCCACCCCCGACCGCCCTGCTGAATCGTCCTAATTTTCCTCCGCCACCACGCAAGGGTGAATTGGAAGCACCCGCGATTCAGGTCCAGCGCTCATCACCTCCACCGCCACCTCCACAGCAACAAGAATCGAGCCAAAGCGATCACGACGCTGACGAAGCCCATCTGCAGCCTGGTACGAGGACACCCGCGCGCGGTGCCAGCGGCAGCGGCAGCGGTAGTAACAGTCAGACGGCACTGGAGACGGTAGAAGAGGTTAGCCCCTTGGCATCGCCACAGGAAGCCGAGGGCGTGATGGAGAAGGCGGACGAACTCACCGCCTCGGAGGCTGGGTCACAAGCCGACAATCTTGAATTTGAAAAGTCTCAGGCACCCTCGACCACCAACGACAGCAGTAGTGATAGCGGAGGTGATAAGAGCGACAGGAGACATGCGGCCACCGGCTTGCCCCCGACCCTGAAGTCCCGACAATCCAGCGCGTCAACCAAGAAATCGAAGCCCTCGGAAGGATCTGTACAACACATGACCGTGGAAACTGAGACAGTGACCTCGATACCACAACACTCACTTGCCCCTGTGGCTGTCAAAGAGGGGACGAGTGGCACCCTGAGGGCAAAGCAAAGCTCGGAGACGATACGGCCCAAGAAAGAGAAGAAGCGGCCGAGTAGGAAACAGCCAAATATTGGAACTGGCACGGGTGAGACACCTTGTTCATCACTTTTTACTGTTTCTGTTCCTCGACTTCGCCATCATCAGTCCATGCGTTCAGTGTCCTCGGTGACGGATGCGCTGATTTCGCCGACAAAACCATGTGCCCAGAGCACATATGATGATGTGTTCGGATCCGAAGCCTCGAGCCCCCGCCGTTCTTCCATACCCTTGGCTCGCAACTACAATCTCAGCAACTTGAGCTCTAGGCTAACCAAATCTCGCGTAGCGTCGTCCAAGGCAGATATCTTCGAAGCAAAGATCGCCAGTGCTGTTGACGAGGCTGATTCCTCGGACTCTGAGGAGACCTTTGTTTACGATTCTAACCCCCCAGACACTAATGATCGGCCGAGGCGGTTCCACTCGAGAACTCCAAGTGCGACCTCAATGGTCAGCCAGGTTGACAGGAACGGTCTGCGCTCCATCACCAACATCATGGACAACGCCGTCTCTAATGCAGGGACCAAGAGGAACATGAAATTTGTCAACACTTTCAACAGCAGCGGGAACGAAAGTGCGATGGCAGAAGACGACGGCAAGGGCACGGTCCGTAGTGCTGCCGGCTCGGCCCGGGGCACAGGTCGCGTCCATCACCATCATCTAGGACGTTGGGGTCGCAACGGCACCAACGGTCATACGTCCTTGTTTGACAACGAGGCCCCTTTCCACATCAGTAACATGACAGCCCAAAGGTCCAAATTCTCCACCAACAGTAACAGCTCGCGCCAGCCGTCCGGGCCACCAAGCCCGAGATTCCTGAATTCTGGCCGGCTGGCATCCACTAGCAAAAGGGGTATCCACGCGGTTAGCTATGATCTCGACGACACTACCGGCACCGGAGCCGATGATGAGAGGACACCTCTGCTTCACGGATCAGTGCGTTCAGGCCGGTCGGCCAGAGCTCGTCGCGGCCAGCCCGTGTCGATGCGTTCACTCGAAGGTCAAACCTATCGCAGGAACCCTTCCGTGCTGAACAGGTTCGCCAGCTGCCTCGTGCTCACCGTCATGCTCCTACTTGTTGTGTCTGGAGCCATCGGCTTCATGTTCGCAACCTCCCAGCCTCTGACCGACGTTGAGCTCATTGCCATCAAGAGCGTTGTTGCCGCAGAGCAGGAACTGATCTTCGACATCGAAGTCAAGGCTCACAACCCTAACGTGGTCGTAGTCTCGATTGATCAGGCAGACATCGAGGTATTTGCAAAGTCGCCGCACGCGGGCGCCGACTCGGGCGGGTGGCACAGGCCAGATGATCACCAAGGCTCCGATTCAAGGTGGTACTCGAACAACGGCAAAGCGCACGCAGGGGAGGATTTCGACGGCCCAGTCAATGAAAAGGCTCCTAATATGAGACTGGGGACCATTGGTCAACTCGACAGCCCACTCTCATTTGAGGGATCTTTCTTCAACCACGGATACTCTGGTTCCACTGGTGAGGTCAGGCTGCGTGGGCCAGGTAATGGTACGGCTGGCGGTGTGGAGCGGTGGGAAAGAATTTTGCAAGACGAATTCGACCTTCTCGTCAAGGGTGTTCTCAAATACTCACTACCCCTCAGCCAGCACGTTAGAAGCGCTGCCATCTCAGGGCGTACCACGATCAAGCCGAATGCTGCGAATGACCCTACCGGGAACAGGACGGAACCCATTACGAAACCAAATAAACCGGAGTGACAAAGCAAGACGCAAGTGGGCGCGTCTGGGACAGGAGAAAGTGACGAATAATTGTACATCGTGGATTTGTCTCAGAACGCGGGCGAGCTGGCGGTCGGGCGGCAAAGAATCTCGGCATCACCGGACTCAGGACACCACTAACGTGGATTTGATTTTCTATGTCTCAAATACCCAACACCAGCCGAGGCACTTTCGGCAATCCTTTCATCTTGTTCTTTACTGTATTTTCAGCGTTGCATGGGACGGCATTGCATTTCAGTCTTGGGAATGATGGCGAGGCGTTTTGACATGGCCAAGCAGAAATGGTCAACAGAAAAGTTTTGCGGAGCAACTCATAGCCGAGCATAAAAGCTTTGAAGGGCATAACAGAAGCGACAGGGGGGCCAAAGAGCACTGGAACCATTACAATCTTACAACATTCAGAAGTCAAGGGACAAAACTGAGCGATGCAAATCGTGGGCATTGTTCTCCTTGTTTGTCTTATTAAGGGCCCGGACCATCGGAGGACGATGGAACAGTGTGAGATAGGCTGGATAGAAATGGCAAGGGAATAAAAGCCAGGTCTGGCTGCATCACATCTTGAGGAACTGCTGCATCCCCGTATCACGTTGTGTGTATTATTTTGGCCGAGTCTCGTGCTGTATGTGACTACCAACTGTGCGTTCGGGCCGCTGAATATTGTCATGGCGCTGCGTACGGCCAGACGATGGGGTTCATACTCAGCAATGCCTTCTATTTGCAACAGCGGCGCCTCCGCTCTGGCTGATGTCGACGCTATTGGCTTCAGCGACTCCCAGTCATAAATTTGGAACTCATTTTCTGCTATATGCATTAAAAGCGATGGATCAAGGGGATGCTGTGTCCAGATGTAGGATTTGCAGCCATGTTGCCGGCAGTCTGTGGGAGAAACGAGTTCCTTGCCGTCAGACATCGAGTGCAGACAAGCCTGATCGTTGGATACAATAAGAAGGCGTGTGAGGGCTTTGTTGAATAGGAACTGCTGGACTCCAGTGACGGATGCTCGGTGGGAAAAAAGTTGCTGTGCGTTCCACTCTTTCTTCGCGTTCTTCGACACCGCGTGAACCATGAGAAATCCGGCGGTGTCTGCACTGATGAGGAGTTTTAGTGGACCTGTGCTTCCTAGGGCGATATCTTTGACGCTTGCGATATGTGAGAAGAGAACCCCTGCTGGTAGTCCTGTGCGGGCGTCGTGAACTGAGATGGATTTGTCCAGTCTTCCTATGAAGACGGCTTGTCCATCCAGGTCACAAGCAATGGCACTGATCTGCCTGCTTGCTTCGTCGTTGTCCTCGATTACCTCGTCCTGGTCGCCCGATATGAGAGACGGTGAGCGCACGCTGTCGTAGCCCACGTCCCGACGGTATAGTGCCGCAGGATCCTAGATACGACAACTACGCCCCCCAGCACGTATCACAATGAAGCCCTCGCTATCGGCACTGAAGTTTAGCGCGGCGACCGTTCCATGCTCTGGGCGGATGCGATCTAGTCTGTGCAGAGTTTCGAAGTCGTACAATTCGATAGCACCGTCTTTACGGGCAGCGGCGAGAGTCCTCCCGTCTGGAGACGAGGAAAGATGCGAGAAACAAGCCGGTGTAACACGCGCTTGAATTGTGCCTTGCTCGACGTCAAAGAGAACAAGATCGGAGCATGAGAAGGAGACGGCCAGGAGCGGGCTCTCAGGGAGGTTGCTAAAAGCCATGGCGTATATGGATATACAGAGGTGCTGGTCGATTCCACCAGAGAGGCCATTGTGGTGGTCGAAAATTTGATAGGTTTCCAGATCGTAATTGTAGACCAGAACGTGCCTATTTCGATACCCCAAGGCGAGGAGGCCAAGGTCCTTGTTGAAAGCTGCCTTCTCTGCAGTAATGCCTGTATACCAAGTATAATGAGGCTCCTCCAGGATGTCGGTCCAGCTTGTTGAGCTCGCAGAGCGGTCAATAAGGTTCAACGCTAGAATTGTGTTATTCCCCAGAGCGGCGAGTAACGTCTGATCATCATCAACGAAGATCATGGCGAGGATACTCTTCCCAGAGGAAACTTCCCAGTCTTGTTCGCAATTTTCTGTGTTCCATAGACGTATGTGCCTTTTGCTGCCACTGGCGAGCAGCGGTTTAGATGTGGCGTATTCGAGGTACAGGACTGGCTGCTGGTGATCCAACACTGTCTCTTCAAGGCTGTCTGGTCATTGAAGATGGCGATTCTGCCGAGGGAGGTACCGACACAAAAGTTGTTGTCGGTAGTCGCAATTGAACTCAGACGGGCGCTCACGACGAACCACTCCTGAGGAAGCTTGATGTGGGGGCCTGAGAACGAGTGTGCAGAGACAGTTATCCCAAGTTCGGAGCGATAGCCCTGAGACAGTAAGATTTGCCCCCGTCCCTCGCGAAAAGTGCGCATGGGGAGCAATGTCCGGAGGGCAAAATGCCGGTATCATATGTAGTACCGACTCGGGGTGTACTAAAAGTTGTCGACCAAACTTGCTCACAAGTTTGACCAAGTCGATGGACCAGTCCTGAATGATGACTACCTCTTCCCCAAGCAACAAGTCTGTCCGGGACTTGCGCCTCAGGAAAACCTTGAGAACTTGTGCAAAACGTAGAATCGTGTCCAGCTTTTTCCTCTTGGACAGCTCCACGATCCAGGACAAAACGTTTGTCTTCAAAAAGGTAGCCAATGCCGACAGTATTTCAGCATCTAGTGCTGAGCTCCTGTTCACATGCTCATGCACAGCCTTACATGCATAATAGCTGGCAAATACTGAACGCTCCTGTACCACTGCAACCATCTTTCTTTTAGGTTTTGCCTTCATTTCCGGGCCATTGAGGTAGTCTAAGCACGCCATGGCAAGCATCTTATGACCGTGCTCTCTGTCAATTGTAAGCCCTACATCAAGTTCCGAGTCTATATCTTGGCGCAGGAGAAAGCCCCTTGCGCTCGCATGACGCATCCTGACCCGGCCAGACTTGTCGATGTACAGAAAATCGTTGCAGTACTTAGTAATGAGCATCTCCGTGTCTTGGACTTCATCCATTGCTAGACGTTCGATGATGTTATATATAACTACTTGAGTTCTGAGGTGGTCAAGGGCCGGATGGCAAGCGTGACCCATGTTGAAATGGTCGTTGATATGGTCCTCTCCATGTCAGACATTGCCCGCACTATTATAGCATAAAGCTGGCCCATCCCTGGGGGGGTTTCAACCTTCCTGCCCGACGTCCACTCGGAATTGTGAAGGCTAAAGTTCATAGTTGGTAGGGATACTCTGTTTCTGACATTTAACTGTTGCAAATCTTTGATCTGAACTGCTCGCCATGCGATTGGCCTTCTAATTCTCGCGGCTATCCCGCTCTGGCATCGGAGTCGAGTAATTGGCTTAATCGCCGTGGACATGAAAATGCTTAGTAACATCGACGGAGCAGATTGGACGACTTGGCAACCGTCGGAGCGGATGTTCCATCTTCCAACGAGGTAGGGTTAGTGACATCTCAATTCTGTCAAGCACGAAGAGCTGTCGCTGCTCAGAAGACCAGACTGTCTCCATTGAGCCCTGTGTCTCACTGGATGTGAAAATCATGAATGTTGATATGAAATTGAACAAGCCAAATTTCGTACTTGGCGACGTGCAAGCTTTTAGGAGAAGGCTTTTTTGATGAAGAATGGAGCTTTCAAACAGATTGGCACGAGTTTATGTAACGTTATTGACGAAGGGGCACCGATTACATATGTCTTTCGCAACCCATATTGATACTTTTCTCCGTCGGCATTACAGCGGGCTATGGAGGTCTTGGTCAGTTCACCTCTTCTTTCACTTTACCCTTTCATTATTGAACGGGCAGAACGTTATTCTGTACCAGAGTTAAAGTAGTGTGTTGACTACATATGAGCTCGAAAGACTACCGGGAGCCCCCTTGGGACACCCATTTTTGGTATTATATGTTTGAGCATATTGTGGAGTCCATCATGGAGTCCATCGTGTACCCAGAGCCTCGTCACCACCGTTTTGTGCTGTGACAACTACGCATTTGACCTCGCATATGCAGCGTGCCATGTTGGAAGACCCATTGCAACAGCACTTCGAACCAACATGCTGATTTCTCCATATTATATGCTGCGCCGCTTGCTTCCCCGCTTTACAGCACACATTTGCAGCTGCACTGAGTTCTGTTGGCCAAGTCGATTATTAGAGAATTATTCTTCCCCTCTGCTTACAGTCGTCAGATTCCAGTGCTCGCTCGATGGCCCATCATCATCCGAATCTTCTGTTCACCCATCACCATATACCTTGATAACTGCCAGAGACTGAAGACGCTCTAGGTTGTTGCAAATTTCTACTCACTAACTATGGCTTTAACTACACCAACTTCCCGTCTTGCCCACATCGCGAATTCTATCCTGAAGTCTGTCACAAAGCTAGAGGAGATGCTCTCTCATCATGGATACTCATCCCAAACGTTTAACAAAGATGCTGTAACACTACTGCTAAAGGATATATAAATATAGGTATAGGGTAGTTAGAATTAGGGGGTGGTTAGAATATAGGCTGAGTACGTTACTAGTGTGGTTTCGTTTTTAATCCCCATACATGTAAAATGTACGTGGCGCCTTCATACAGTGGTAAACGCTCAAGACGAGTACGTTACTAATAGGAGTTAACTTAAGGTTCATCTTTGAGACGGTGAAAGGATTAGTTGATTCTACACTAGCAGTGTTGGAGTTCATTTGGGCGAAAGAGGATTAAGACCACCCGTACTGCACATGGGCGCATCTGAGTTTGGGATGAAGAGCAATAGAGCAATCTTTGCTTTAACCATCATTACTGGGTACCTTTGCTAAGTTCCTAACACAACCAACACAGAAGTGAACTGCCCAATTAATTGGTCTACACGGCCGGTAAGTATCCCGCAGTCCTTAGACATTCCAAGTTAGCCAAAATATCTCTTCGTACTTCCAACTCCATATCAAAATCATCACCCGTGTCACTGTCTCGAGCCGGCAAGCCACCGCCAAGACCAACACCCTGCTTGACCAGATGTAGCACTGGGTAAAGAGGATGCTTCACATCTTCGGCCTCGACCGCCGCCTCGACGGAAGCGAGCCATCCGTCATGAGGAACTGCAGCCAGGGCATAGCCCGACTGGGACACCAGCTTCCAGAAAGCGCTTTCTCGCAGACCGTCCAAGATTGTGACGGTGACTCCCGTCGTGCCTTTCCCACCAACAGCCTGAAGTGAGCTTGAGCGGCCGTCTGAAAAGAGACAGGCCAAAGTCTTTCGGGCGACGGCTGCGGAGCTGGCGAGGTACATCCAGCCGTCTGTCGCCTGGCTGTCGTACATGCCCAGCCTCACATTGGTGCTCACCAGCCGCCAGAGGACATCGTCAGTGTGCGCAACTGCGTGGGATCCACCTCCCATGATGTAGCCCGGCATCACAACACGGGCACTGGCATCCTGGAGTCCGTCATGCAGGGATGCCCACTTATAGACGAGGAGGTCCGAGAGGAATTTTGTCTGGGTGTAGCCCAGTGTGCCGGTGGCAGAGAGCGCGAGGGCGAGCTTGAGACCCTCCGTCTCCCAGGTCGGGGTGGGTAAAGAAGAGGTGGGCTCTCGGCCTCCAGATATCTGAATGAAGCGCGGCTTGACTCCGTTTCGTTTGAGTGAGTGTGTGCAAGCATTAAGCAGGGAAAAGGTGGAAGAGACATTGACGGCTTTCAACTGGTGGTAGTTCTGGGACCAGTTGACAACTGCGCCGACGTGTATTACGGCGTCAATCAAGTCGAATGGTGAGTCTTCCCCACGAAGACGCTCCCATTGGTCGTTGCTGAGCCCCAAGCCCGGCTCACATAGATCTCCCAGCCAGACTTCAATCTTGGGAACATATGGGGCTAGGCACCATCCCATTCGCTCGGCCACTGCAGCCAGCCTGTGGCCAGCCTTTTCCAGACTATCCGCCCGGATGAGGACGATCACGTTGGAGATCTCTGGGCGCTGGACGAGCTGGTGCAGGATTTCAATACCAAGATACCCTGCTGCCCCCGTCATGAAAACGGTGGAGACGTTCTCGCTCAGCTTTAATGGCACATGCTTACTTCGTGTCGTGCGAGAACTGTCGTCGAGACCGGCTGCGAGCTGACGGTACTCGTCCACCAAGTCCACCCCTGGTGGCGGGACGTCTTCACGCACGTCGGAACAGGTCCTCAAGTGCTCCACATATCCTGCTAAGTCACGAATGCTCATCTCACCACCCGATATTCGTGCCATCGCCGGAGTGATCTTGTACCTCTTTGCGAGCAACCGCATGAGCTGGACGGTCTTGATTGAGTCAAGTCCGGCCCTGGAGGGGATGATGTCGTGGTAGGGCTCACATCCTCCAAATCCACCATGTCCACTTCCAGACGCGATCAGCTTGTCGACTATCTCTGCTATCTCAATTGCCACGGTTTCCTCAGGTTGGATGATGGAGCTTTTCAAGTCGGCCGTGTTCAACATGGTGTTCCAAGCGCTCAGCCAGCTCTCCTGGAGCTGTTGCAGGACAAAGCCTTTGACCGCCAGCCGCGACACCTTGGCCGACGGCAACATGGGCAGCGAGTAGGTGGGCACCCAGACCTCAGGATGCATGTAGGGCGGTATCAGCGAGCTGATGTGGTTGCGCACGGCCAGTAGCTGGAGGGCGACTGAGGAGTCGGGTTCCGGATCTGGGAGGTCACTGAGGTTTCCCGCGCCGTCGGGATCCCCAAAAGCCACCACTGCTGTAATCTTGCCCGCCACTGGACCTGAGGATGGGACGATGACGACGGCTTTGTGCCCAAGCGATGAGACCGCGTGTTCGACCTCACCGAGGTCAACCCTCATGCCCCGGACTTTGATTTGTGAGTCCTTCCTGCCAAAGCACTCGATACTGCCGTCCGGGTTGTATCTGGCTAGATCGCCGGTCTTGTATGCGATGAACTTTGCTCCGCTACTCCTCCATCCCTGTGGGAGCCATACCGGATCCTCTATGAAAGACGCCCTAGTCTTCTCGGGATCATCGAGGTACCCGTCTGCAACGATAGGTCCCTGGATGAACAATTCTCCCTTCGTGCCCAGGGGTGCCAAGGCTGTCCCAGAGTCGTCGACGATCCAGGTATTGCACGCCGACCCGTAGCCAATGTTGCCGGCGCTTGAAGCCGTGTTCAAGGTGCGGGAAAAGGTACAGAAACAGGTCTCGGTTGGGCCGTACCCGTTCACCAAGCTGGTCCTCGGCGCCCAGAACTCCACGTCGCTGGCCGTCAACGGCTCCCCGGTCAAACAGAGCTTGCCGATGGGTATCGGGTTCTTCTCAAAGTCGGCCTGAAGTAGCTTGGCCACGGTTGGCGTGAGCACCAAGACGTTGCAACGCAGCTTCCGGACGGCGGAATGGAGGTCCTGGAGCCGATCTTGGGCGGACGGGATGCAGATGCAGCCTCCGGAGAGTAGAGTTGCAAATATTTCCAGACACGAGACGTCGAATGACAGAGATGCGAATTGGAGGACACGTGAGCGTCGCGTGAGGGAGAGTATCCTGGCATAGGCAGTGTTGCCCGTAGAAGAGGCGCGGTGGGACATGCAGACACCCTTGGGGACTCCGGTGCTTCCTGACGTGAAGTAAGTATACGCGAGACTGGATGGTGATACTTTTGGGAGAACGATGTCTGCTCTCGATTTGTATGATGCCGAGATGTTTGAGAGTGATAAAGCAGTCAACTCCAGTATCTCAACCCCAGATGCTTGGCTCCATGTAGACTCCATACGAGCAGCCACGCTCTCGGAGCAGATCATCATCTTTGCGTCGACTTGCTTCAAAATCGCAGCCATTCTCTCCCGCGGCGCACTGGGGTCGATGGGCACATAACATGCACCTGCGCGTAACACTGCAATGATGGCCACAACTGCCAGCCAGGAATTCTCGAGGGCGATGGGGACCATGGACTTTTGCCCGAGGTCTCTCTCATGCAGGAACATTGCAAGATTTCGAGAGTATTCGTCAAGCTGGTTATAAGTGACACTCCCCGCTTCAGAAAAGATCGCCTCCGCGTCACCCGCGGCTCTCGCCTGCGCCTCAATCAAGTCGTGGAGACACTCTTCCACAGGCTCAGTCGACGTGGCATTCCACCTCCGGATCTGCTCTGATTGCTCGTCTCCTGACAGTCGAATTTTTCCGAGTGGTAAGGCTTGTATGTCGTCACGCACCAGTTGTTGCAACGCAGTCGTGAATTGGCCGACGACCCAGCTGATCTCCGTATCCGTCTTGAGACTTGGATCATACTGTAGGTTGATGGACAATCCCGCGTCGGAGGGGGTGCAGATCAGGCACATCCCAATATTGTGCTGGATGGCGCTGCTTCTGGAATCATCGAATACTAGACCTGTCGGCCGCAGGATCGCGTCAAACATGTCACCGTGTGCATCCTCCCGGCTGGAAGCTGGCTGCACTACCATGATCGAATTGACTCTGCCCGTGTCCCTACCACAGATGCTGAGGATTTCTTGAAAGCCCAGCCAACCGTACTCCGCGCAGCCGTTCGCCTTCCTCTGCACGTACTGGAGAAACTCCCCAACGCCCATTTCGCGGTCCACTCGTATCTTGACAGGCACGGTGTTCATAGTCGGTCCGGTGATGTCCTCGATGCCGGCGACGGGACATCGCCGGCCGTTGAGGGTGGCGCCGAATATAATGCTCGAGCTTTGTGTGTGCTTCCATAAAACCATGGCCCATGCGGCCCACAGATAGGTTGAACGCAGAACTGCGGAAGATGGCAATGCAGATAAGAGCTTTTGCCCCCGGAAGTGGTGACTTGAAGTGCAAGGCCAAGGTATTGGGACAGATCTAGACAGGACTGCACTGGTCATCGGTGTATATCCGCTGCCGTTGCCAGGTATTTGTGGAAATCGAACGCATTCCTCGTCCCCTTCCAAGACCTCGCTCCTCCAGAATGCAGCTGCAGCGTCGAAGTTGGCCTTTCTGGTGTTGACCAAGTACTTGATGAAGTTCTTATAACTCGGTCTGTGGCTGCTGATGCAAGACAACTGCCCCAAAATGGTGCTGTCTGAGCTCGACTTCCATGCCTCGACGAAATCGGCCAAAACCAAGGGCAAGGACCATCCATCGTATAACACGTGGCTGATAGTCCAGACGAAATGCTTCCCTTCCTCCAATACTGACAGCCTCATCAGAGGCCGCCCATAATCCATATCGAGATGGTCCCCATGCTGCAGGAATTCATCCAGGGTGACGCCATCGACGTAGTCATAGGTTGGCAGTTCCCTTGGAATAACCAAGTAGTCTTTGCCACTCGGCCCCCGCGCAAGACGAGCCCTTAAGAGCTCGTTCCTCTCCACGGTCGAGTCCCACGCTCGACCTAATCTCTCCAAGTCCTGGTCACTTGCAAGACTGGAAATGGCGAACGCCAGTTGTGCGACGTACAGCAGCCTCTCTGGTGGCGATGAGAGGAATGCCGCGAACATGGAAGATTGCAAGGGAGAAGACGGGTACGCATCTGTTATGGACTCAACCGGAATATCACAGGCCTGCGCCAGAGATGACAGCAAAGGGGAGTGTGCCGAGCTGAGCAGTCTCTGCGAACGAGACGGCGCAGCCGTGTAGCTAGCGGTTGCTGCGACTGGAGCCATTGTGTTGACAGTATGCTGTGAACAATCAGTGTCGATTTTAGTAGGAGAAAAAGATGAATCGACTTCTATCAGCGACCCGTCGAATTGGGCACCTCGGCGGGTGCGCTACACTTCGTGTTCAGTTCATGCAGAAGTGTCTTGTAAGTTAGCATACTAGTAGGTCTTGATGTATGCGTTTGGCTAAGTGAGCATAATTGGTAAGTTTTTCTTGTCCCACAGAGCACGTAATAGGACTTGAAAGGTGATCTCTTCAATCTGTTTACACTTCATAATCAAGCAATCCTTGCCTCATGTCGCTGGCAATGTGAGATTGCGGCGATTAGTCACCTCGGACTCCAGCCGGACTAGGCTCATCCACCTCACATCAGCATCATTCTAGCCGTAGATGCCCCCTCAGTTCTCATCACACTCGCAATCAGTGCGCTTAGACTTGCCTTTTCCTTTTGCTGGAAGATTCCGCGGTTAACATGATTCAGGGATGTCCGGACGCCCGAGCCACACAAACATCACTAGATTTTCAACTACCTCTTAAATTCTAGCCATCCCGGCAAAGTAAATTAGAAGTATTGTGGGGATTAAAACTTTCTGATCCCGAGCAATCTTCTTGACAGATTCAGTTGCGAAGACCCGGTCTCACTAATGATGGGCCACCTGCATCGCGGTGTTGTCGGCGTGGTATCTCCGATGTTGTTGTGGGCTGAGTGTGAAAGATGGCTCGGCTAAATTTGGCCGCGAAGCTCCCTAGAAAGCAAAGTGAAGGGGTGCCGCGGAAAACTAAAGCACTAAACTATATCACTAAACTACTCTACATTATAGCTATAGTTACTATTCATTATATTATATATATTAAAGTTATTAGTATAATATAATAAACTTTAAAATATTTTTAATATAAATTTAATATATTATATAAAGTTTTAATATAAGTATATATAATATATATAAACTATTATTTACTTACTTAATAATTATATCTACTTACTTAATTCCTACTAACTACTTACTTAATATTAATTTTTTAAGTAACTCCCTTATATTTATAATGAAGCTAGGGGCGAGGACTTCGCACCTAGGGCTAGGGGTCCTCTACCCCTAACTTCTACGGTTAACCGTTTACTCATAACGAGTAGGAAAGAGGACAGAATAGTCACTTCTAGGTACTGATCAAATAAGAATAAGGAGGTATAAATTACTAGTAAAGTCCTTTGGGGGAGAGGTACCTATTTATGTAGTCCATGTCTAGAGCCGTTACCGACGGCCGCTGAGACAATAAGTACCTTCTAAGTTAGCACTAAAAGACCCTATAATATAATTTCCTTCTCTAATTTTCAATACTTTCAATATAAGCCCCTTCTAACACACCTTCTAACACACCTTCACCTTTACCTTTACCTTCACCTTCACCTTTACTATTTAATTTATATATATTTAAGTACTAACTAAGCATTTAAATACTAACTAAACACTAAAAGGTTAAAAGCTAAAAAGGTAAAGGTAAAAACTATACTCTTTCTAACCTTCTAATACTCCTTCTAACCCTTTAACACTCTAAACTTCTAACCTTCTAGCATTTAATTAACATCTAAATACTTAATTAATACCTAAATATATACAGCCTAAAAGGTATACTAAAAGGTATACTAAAAGGCATACTAGAAGATATATTAAAAGGTATATTAGAAAGGGCTTATATTAAAAGTATTAAAAATTTAAAGAATCTTAATTAGATATATAGTTTTATATAAACCTTATATATAAATTCTTATATTAAATAAGTAATTAAAAAATTAAATAAATAGATATAATTATTAAATAAGTAGATATTAGCTCTATATAATATAATAAATAAAATTATAAAAAATTAAAAGAAATATAATTAAATATATAATTAAATTAATTTCTTTTAAATATAAAGTTAAAAACCTATAATTATATTTTTAATTAATTTTTATTTTAAGATTTTATTATATTATAATTTAATTTAACTTTATTTAAATCTTTTTTAAACTTTTAAACTTTTACTTTTTAAAAGTTAGAAATTTAAATTCTTTAAGTTTAAATTTAAAATTCTTATAAATCTTAATTTACTTTAAATTAAACTTATTTATTTTTAAATTTAAATAATTAAATAAAAATAAACTTTAAAATTTATAAATAATTAATAAAGTTATATTAATATTATTAATCTTTTTATAAATAAAATATAAATTTTATAAAACTTTATTTATTTTATTAAATAATTTTATTTATTAAATATTAATATTTCTAATAAAATATAATTAATATATTATACTTAAATTATAAGTTTTATATTTTTATTATTTTCTTATAATTAAATATAAATTAATTTATAAGTTTTAACTAGTTTGTGTATAGGGGTTGGTGTGTGAGTAGATATTCTGACTTACAACGTGCATGACGCACATAACAGGACCGTTGGGAAAGTATTCCGGCCCGTTGAAATAGAGTTCAGTGGCTTGGGCTAGCTCTATCCATTCCTCAGTTCCGCGGCAATTCACTCCAAAAACTCAATTAACCGTGCAACTCTCCAGCACGCACGCTGTTGCAGATGCTCGATCTGCCACACCGAGGTTGTCTTTGGCCAACAACGGGAAAATGCTGCCAGGTTGCAGTAGAGAGAAAGGCGAGAGAGCCCGGGACGATGACAGCATCAATCACCCCACCTATGTAGGCCCACTGCAGTACAATCACTAGGTTGTTTCAGCGGTGGTGCACAATCAACTCATCAAACTGTCACTTGGAGGGTTCTAACCGCCCACGTTCATCTCCCCACTACACTTCACACAGGAGGTGACTCAGTGATTGTGAACAACTCCACCAAGCCATTGACCATCGAACGATAGCACTGTTAACATTTGCACGCGGCTCCCGCTGTCGTCAATTCTTCTGTCTTGTTAGGACAAAGAGCCAGTAGTTTTATCTAGGGATGGATAAGCTTCACACATTCTTTGGCCAGCGATTTGGTCAAGTCAAGCACAGGAGCAGTGGGCAGTCCGCAAAGTACCAGGCAATCCGTGATGATGAAAATGATGGGGACCAGTCAGCACGCGTACACTGTCGCCACAACCGTCTTTTAGCATGTTCCTTTGGCGCCAACGCAGTGATGCTGCTGGCACTGTTCGGCGTGTTCTTCGGCTACTTCGGAAGACTCAGCGGAGAGTCAGTGTGTGAGCTAGAATCAGAAACGCTTTTTGGGCATAGTGAGTACTTCATCAAGGTGTTATTTCTTTTTCCAATCAATATGAATGGAAGGCTGATCGCTTACGCTCCCAAGTCCCATGGAAACACCAGCTGATCGTGAACAATGAGCGGTTTATCAACGCCAAGCCCCCCGACTACATGGTAGGCGAGGTAGGCATCAACAAGACCGACTCCGTCAACCCATGGGATGAGATCTACCCCACCACGTGGGTTTCATTCCCGAAGCCGAGCCTTGGGGGCGTTCAAGGCTGGGGCATGAAGATGAAGCACGTGGCGGCGAGCCCTGATGAATGGGAGGAGGAAAGTGAGGGTTTTGGAGTGGCTGTGATGCATCAGGTGCACTGCGTTGTGAGTTCATAACCCCAAACGTTTATCCACTACATTTGTGTTGGAGGCGCATGTAGACTAACTTGAGACTCAAAAGGCGGTTGTTAAGCATGCGTTGCTCACGTATGAAGAGACTGGCAAGTCCAACGCGGATCAAGTACATCTCCACCACTGCGTCGAGACCCTTCGCCAGGTATGCCTCAATTCCCCAGTGACCAATGCGGCTTTTACCAACAGTCTTGATTTATATGTTGAGTTGTTTGATGTCGCTGACCTTAGCAATGAATAGGCTGTCATGTGTCACGCCGATATGACTCTAGAACACCCAGAGATCGACAACCCGCATGATGTCGTCTTAACTGGCTGGGGCAACACCCACCTTTGCCGTGACTGGGACAGTGCCCTTACTGCCATCAGCAAACATGCTATAAAGCACAAGCCAGAGGGATGGGCAAAGTTCGAAGAAGGTGAGCTCAAGACAATCAGAGGACTTTAAGTCTAAATAAAGTGGTGTCTTGAAGAATGGTCCCGAATGTGTCCCAATGTTCTTTTTTCTTGGGTTCTTGGGGGGGAGTGGGGGGAAGAGTTTCAGCGGGATTCTGGAAGCGATATTCAGGAAGTGTCGTTTCGCTCACATCGACCGGCTCGGAGCCTTTGACGCACGAGAAATATGCCCAGGTGGTTCGTTACACTATGGATAGCATAAGATATTCTACAAGACACGTATGGTGTGACTCAGTACTTGACCATCGAGGTATCTAATATCCACGCATGGATTTATATGCAAGGGAAGGGGTGGATCTCACTTCAGTCTCGGGCTATGCCAGTATGAACGGAGAAATGCCAATATTCTTTGAAGCATTACATAGAAGTTGCGCTGAGACAGTTGTGGTATGATAACAGAAAGTGGTCTGGATCTATTGCGTTTCTTTGCTTAAAGGGTACGGTAAGTGGGACGAGGCATTGGCGACTGGTGCAAGCCCCCCTGGAAATTCCCGCCCGCGGAACGTTGTATACACTCTACTCTGACCCAGGCATTTATCAAGATCGGTGTCAGATCAGTCCTCGTCTATATTTGTGCCGTCATTAGACGACAACAAACTTTCCAGACTTATCGACTTGAGATCAGCCCCACGTATCGTCTTTTTCCCCATTTTCTTCTGCAACCAGTCGTAGATTCCCAAGCGGCTTGCGCCCTCGGCCACCTTGGGCGGTGTCTCAGTGCTTTTGTCCATCAAGATGGCTGTCAATGATAAGATCAGCATGAGCCCTCCAATAACCGCAGTCGGCTTCGGAATATGAGCCCAGAAAATCCAGTCTAGAAATCCGGCAAATAGCACCTGCGAAAAGATAAACAGAGTGGATGACGAAGAACGCTCAATGGCGAGACCGGAAGTCAACACAAATTCCTGAAATGAAAAGGTCGATTAGTGTTATCATTCCCTGGAAACAAATAGCGACCTGGTCAGCTCATGACTTACAACGAGGAAGCCGACAAGTCCTACAGCTACAAGAAGGGCTCCTTGCAACAGATCGAGTTTCAAAATGCTCGGTCTGGGTTCCAAGAGTATCGCGGCGCTCGTTACAGCGATCATGGTAAATGCGAAGTAATTCACGCTGATCAGCGGATGAGCACGGGTCCCCATCAGCCGAACACAAGTGTAGGCGCACTTTGTTGGAGAAAGATTTGTCAGTTCTATCTAAGAGAGGCAACCTACAAAGGACGGGAAAAAGGATGGGAGAATATTGAAGCAACTCACGGCGCCCCCGAAGGCCCCAAACAACGCGAAAGCGATGCCTGTCAACATGTTCCTGCTGCCCGCACCGGCATAATCCACGACCCCTTTGTCCCCAAGACCGAGATGCTGGGTTATGAACTTGGGCTGCACGGTGATTAACACAGCCGCGGCGCTCATGAATGCGGCGACGACCTGCACCGTCGACACGCCGCCCCTCATCAACAGCGCGCTGGCGATACAGCAGCCCAGCGGGGCCAGCAGGTTGAGCACGCTAGCCTCCGCCAGCGGCAGGTACTCGAGGGAGAAGTAGAAACCTATGGCACCGCAGCAGCCCCCGGCAGCCCTCAGGAGCATGAGCCAGCGCACCTCGCGGGGCCCCAAGGGGAAGTCGTCGACGTCTTTCATCCAGCAATAGACCGCCGAGAGGGTAAGGGTGATGATCATGCGGATTTTGAGTATGCTGAAAGGGCTGATCGGGTTGGAGGACTTTGTCTCGAGGAGCTTTACGCAGAGGTTCATCACGCCACTTAGGATCTGAGAGAGGAGAACCAGTACGGGGCCCCAGTTCCGGGAGATGCATTGTCGAGTCTTTGAACCCATCATGAGCAAAACAAATCACAAAATGATGCCTACGATACCAATTGTTGCAGTGAGTTGGACCAGAATGCCCGCAGTTTTGGAAGAGAGTTGGATGGAGATTGAGGGGACGGGTGTTGTTGGCCTTAGGTTTATAGTGGAAACCTTAATGAACGATTTTCTTATACCGGTTAGGCTTTAGCTATATTATATATATAAACTAACTAACCTTACCTATAGTAGCTAATTTACTACAACCTACTATTCCCACACTATTTATATTAATAATTTTAATATAATAATATTAAAAGTAATACTTTTTAATTTTATTAATATAATATAAAACTTAATTATATACCTTTATATTATATTATTTTATTATTAATAATATAATATTTATTTAAATATTAAATCTTAAGTATTTACTATTATATAAAGATACTATATATATTTTACATGTATAGGGATTAAAAACAAAACCACACTTATGCAGATTGATAGCAACTGACTCCGCAGTGCTTGCAGCCAGCCTGCCCGGACAGTTACTTTGTTGTACTAGAGCATTGCCTTCAGCAGCCTCTCCTGCCGGCCTGGCGGTCAGGCAGCCAGCTTCATGACGTGGTCTCATGCTCGGCGCGCGGTGATGCTGTTAAAGTCTGAGTTGATTTGTACGAGCGATTGTCTCCTACAGGTCCTTGGATATGGGTCTTCTGCGGAGAACCCACTCGGGGTTTTGAACGTTACGTATGCTGGAGACGCGGTTTGAACCAAAAACCTAATAACAGTACCATTTGATAATGAGTCTAACTTGTAAAGACGATTTTCCCCAGAGATGAATAGTCTATGTGAGAAAAATGAAATTATATACCAAACATGCACGTCGATATATAAATTCAAAAGAGTAGTATTGCCTCTTAGTCATTTAGATACATCGAAACACTTATTGTCTATAGAGATGTGGTGGTTGAGATGCTCGAGTATGGATTTGATGATTGTGGCCGCATTTGGCCGGTGTGTTGCGGATCTGCAGACAGCACGCACCTACAAGCTAGATACATTACACTTATTTACATTCTATAGTATTAAAAGTATACTAGTAATATATGAATATTATACACTACTAAACTCCTTATATAACTATTATTAGGATAATATATTATATTTACTTTATAAATAAAAATTTAATATAATTAAAAGAAGTATTAAATAAAAAAAAGTATTTTTAATATTTTAAAACTTTTTTATATTAAATTTAAAGTTTTATTTATAAAGTAATTAATATTTAAATAATAAAACTAAAATATTTACACTTATAATATAATTAAAATAAAGTTTTAATAAATATTCTTTATATTAAAATACTTTTTTAATTAAAGTTATATAATAATACTATTTTTATAAAATTTAAACTAATAATTATTAAGTTAATTATATTTTTAATAATATTTTAAATTTAAAATAAATATATATAATATTTTAATTAAAAATATTTTAAATAAAACTTTTAATTTAAATTTTTTTATAATTAAATTTTTTTAAATAATATAATTTTTTTTTAAAAATATAAAGAATATATTTTTAATACTATTTACTTATTTATTAAACTTAAATTAATTAAGTTAACTATTTTATATAAACTTTAAGTATATATAATATTTATATATTACTACCATACTTTTAATACTATAGAATGCAAATAAGTGTAGAACACAATCGCCTAGGTCCCACATCTTGGGTGGGATGCCACTGAGCACTTTCGTCCGTCTTCCCCAGGTCTCTATTCATGCACAGTATCAGTAATAACGGCCAAAGTAGTTGCGGACCAGCACGGTGAGGAAGCGTCACAGGATTGGGTACAAGTCACACCCGTAGAGCGGCAACAAACCCTTTTGACTTTGCGAAACATCCGAGGACGGACCGATGGCATGTACTGTGCGCCAGCCTCTCGTGTTGCCCCGGCTCTATGCATACCAGTGCGGAGGGAACATAAGGTTCCCATGGAGGTACATACTAACTTTTTGGCCGGGGCGCTTCGGGCCCTGCCGCCGCGGAAATAGGAGTTGTGGTTAGATGCATGAGCGGTCCCCCGGGAACGCCTTTAGGAGGGAGCTTGAGTCGGGGCTCCACCCACCTTGTGGCGACTCAGGTCCTGGGTACGAAGCATCACACTAATGCGCGCCTCGGAAGGTTAACTTGCATTCATCCGGCTCAATAACAACGCCTTTTTTGCGGGACTGGCGTACTGGGATGCTCCTCGGTTCGCACAGCGGGCGGTGTGCTGCATTGGATTCGTCCCAAAGGTTCCGGGAATGCTATTTTTGCCTTTCGAGACACCCCCAACTCGAGGAAGACCAATAGTCCAAGGTCAGAAGTCGGGGCCTCGACGAGGAACTTTTGAGACTGAATGACGATGGACGATATGAGATATCTCAGAAAGATCCGCGTATTACCTGTCTGTAACTTAGCCAGCATTTTGCTCGTTTTCAGTCACATTGGCTGCACATCAAGCATACAATGTCACAGCCCTCATTGTGAAGTTTTGAAGCCGTCGAGCCGCCACGCTGCACATCTTTGCATGTTATCTCTGTCTTCATATCGATAACTCGCTATCATGAGTTACACTACAGAAGTGTTCACTAAACCATCTGTCGAATTGGTCTTATCTGGCCAAGGAGACAAAGTGCACGCACAGCATGCATACGACGTACCAGCAGCTTATCGCTCGTAAGGTTCCCAATCATCTCGAGCAGTGTTTTGCGCAACTCAGGCCATTTCCTACAGAAATGCTGTTGATGGCGCTGAAAGGCGCCGAGTGGGCTTCTGGGGAGTTTGCTGACTTGGCCTAGAAAGCATCCCGGGAACCCCGTCCTGACTTCTCTGGAGGGCTACCACAAGCTTTACCAGCAGTCACTTAGCGACCCGGACGCCTTCTGGGCGCGGCAAGCCCGGGACCTTCTCGAATGGGATACGCCGTTCAAGAAGGTCCACCACGGCGGGTTCGAGCACGGCGACATGGCCTGGTTCGCCGGCGGGAAGCTCAACGCCTGTGTGAACTGCTTGGACCGCCATGCGTTCCAAAACTCGGACAAGATCGCTATTGAAGTTGAGCCGGACGACCCCATCGCCGGCCGGCAGCTCACCTACGGCGACCTACTTCGGGAGGTATGCAAGGCGGCTCAGGTGCTTCGTGCCCATGGCGTGCGCAAGGGCGACGTGGTGACCATCTACATGCCTATGGTGGCAGAAGCTGTCATCGCAATACTTGCCTGTGCCCGGATCGGCGCCATGCACTCGGTGGTATTTGCAGGCTTCTCCGCCACTGCTCTGCGGGATCGGATTGTCGAGGCCCAATCAACCGTGGTGATAACTGCAGACGAGAGTCGGCGGCCTGGCAAGATTGTTCCGCTCAAGAAAATTGTTGACGAGGCCCTGGCGGCGGGACAGCCGACGTGTGTCAAATACTGTCTGGTGGTATCGCATACTGGTGCCGACGTGCCAATGCTCAGTGGCCGAGACAAGTCTTGGTCTGGGGAGCTGGCCAAGTTTCCAGGCTACTGCCCAGCTGAGCCGATGGATGCAGAAGACGGATTGTTTCTGCTGTACACGTCTGGGTCGACAGGCAAGCCAAAGGGACTGCTGCACACGGTCGGCGGGTTCCTGTTGGGTGCCGCCATGAACGGCAAATACACCTTTGATCTGCAGCCGCAGGACAGGTTCTTCTGCGCCGGTGACATCGGCTGGATCACTGGGCACACATACGGGGTTTACATGCCTCTGCTGGCTGGAATTGCAACGGTCCTGTACGAAGGCACCCCGCTGTATCCTGACGCCTCACGGTACTGGACCATCATCAACCGGCTCAGAGTAACTCATCTTTATACTGCCCCTACATCAATCCGCCTGCTGAAGCGCCAAGGCGACACCCACATCACCGCCCACCAGCCTTTCAGTTCGTTACGAGTACTTGCATGTGTCGGGGAGCCGCTCGCGCCTGAGGTCTGGAAATGGGCGCACAGTGTCATTGGCCAAGGCAATGTCCAGATTCTCGATGTAAGACGCAATCCCTGATGCAAGTGGGGTCGATATCTCGCCTGCTGCTGAGATTTTACATGAAGTCCAGAGGTTGGGAAAGTTGCTGACGTTCCAACAGACTTATTTCCAAACTGAGACAGGGAGTCACGCACTCACCCCACTGGCCGGAATCACGCCCTCCAAGCCTGGGAGCTCTGGTCTTCCTTTCTTTGGGATGGAGGCCGTGATTCTCGACCCCGAATCGGGAACAGAGATCACCTCGAGGACAGCCACAGGCGTCTTGGCGTTCAAACGCCCGTGGCCGAGCATTGCCCGAACGGTACTGGGATCACACCAGCGGTTCATGGACACGTATTTAAACCCATACCCAGGGCATTATGTACGTATCGCGCAGGAAATCTTTGCCCCTTCTCCCCTAGTCTACCCTTCCCGAAATATCGTCCTAAGACTCTGTTCAGTTCACTGGCGACGGTGCCACACGCGACGAGGACGGGTACTACTTCATCTCCGGGCGGGTCGATGACGTGGTCAACGTGTCTGGTCATCGGATTTCTACCGGTGAGGTTGAAGGCGCTCTCTTACAAAACTGTAAGTCGGACAATACAAGCATAAACCCACAATGAAAAGAAAAGCAGCAAGGGAAGCTCCTCGAAGGCGGTGGACACAAGGTCCAGACGTACCCAAAAGGGAACACTTCAATCTTGCACTCTTGAATTGCACGTTACGACTGAGAATAGCGGTTCTAACAATTCACGGCAGCCATCGTTGCCGAAGCAGCTGTTGTGGGGTCCGAGGACGAACTTCTGGGCCAGGCAATAACCGGCTTTGTGTCCCTAAAAGAGTCCGCCATGTCTGGCATCGACAGCACAAAGGTCCGGCAAATGCTCATCCAGCAGGTCAGGCGTACTATCGGGCCCTTCTCAGCTCCAAAGAGGATCTACCTCGTCTCGGACCTGCCAAAGACGAGGTCCGGGAAGATCATGAGGAGATTGTTGCGGAAGATGTTGCAAGGAGAGTTGATTGAAAACTTGGGTGATACTTCCACTGTAAGCTTCGTCTGATCAAACTGCTCCTTCTGAACACTTCAGTACAAGAGATCCGCTGAAACCCCATCTCAAGCTTTCCAACGCGGGCTCCTTGAAGACCTTTCGGGATGAAATTCAAAAGCAACTGGACGACATACGGTGAGGTGAGGATGCTGGCTCTAGGGAGGTGGGCATTGAGTTCGCCCCGGGGCGATCAGCTTTGTTGGATAGCTAGTTTCGCTTCCACATTGACTGTATACACTTTCTTTTCAACACGTGAAAGACCGTGGTGTCAAAGATCAGCCAGCAGGGCAGTCTAGGCTGGATCAGGTCTTTTGGCAGCTACAGATGAGACGCTGCCCTAGCGCAGATAATTGAGGCTAAGCTCACTGCAATTGGTTTACAGATTTGATCAGGGTAGTTTGATGTTTGGTATGGCAGCCTATATCTTGTACCTCAACCCTAGCTATTGGAAAGACGACCCTAGAATGCCTGGGCTACGGTATCCATTCAGTTCCTAAGCCGGAATCATAGTGAGAGTCCTACAATCATGAGGTTTAGTATATTCTTTTGAACGAAAAGGTATCCGCCAAGACCCTTTCCGATCTGAGGTCCAGTCGAACATAAATGCGACTGCGATGCGAAAAACTCGGGACACGTAGATTGCTTCAAAGCAAGACTGTGGTCTCCAAAGTACCTACTAGATATGCAAGTGGGGCAAGCAACAGCACCTGCCAGGATGCTCGTTCTAAAGTCCAACACCCCCCGAGTTCAACAGCTCGGCAAACTTTGGGCCCCTACCCTCTAACTTCAAATCTGCCGTCTCCACTACCTTCCCGCTGTCCATGAGGATATAGGCATCCCAGTCATCCTCCACCACTTTTCCCAGACGATGCACTACCTCAATAATTGTCTTGCCTTTAAATCTCTGCCGAATAAAATACCTTGCCAAACGCCTCGTCTCATCGTCCATTGAGCTTGTCACCTCGTCCATGACGATAATTGGGGAAGAAGTAATACTCAACCGCGCCAGGTTAAAAAGCTGCCTCTCGCCATGCGAAAGCAACGTCGTCAGCCCGATGCTGGCACAGTCGAGCCCTCCCGCCCTGACGATCTTCTCATAGAGCCCCACGGCGCTTAGGGAGTCCACCATTAGTGCAGTCAGAACATAGCCATCCGCCTCCATGCGGTCCTCCATGCTGGAGTCAGAAGGTCGAGACCTGCTGCCGCTGGCATGATAGATGAGGAAGTTGTCGCGCACGCTGCCTGGTAGGAAGAACGTGTCCTGCGGGACCCCGGCGATCCCCTTGCGGAGCTTGTCAACGCAGAGGTTGGAGGTGGGCAGGTCGCTGACGACGATCCTGCCGGAGCTGATGTTTATTATGTTAAAAAGGGATAAGACCAGAGATGTTTTGCCGCTAAGGAATAGGTAGGATTAGTTTCATGGAGCTCTAGCATGTCTATGGTCAGATGCCTAGACGGCGGGCATGATGAGACTTACCTGCCACTGCGGCCACAGACAGCGACTCGTTGGCCGTGGGGTATCTTCAAGTTGATGTTGCGGAGTACTAGAGCCTTGCCCAGACTGTGAGGGGTGAGAACAGTCAGCCAAATATCGCCTTCTTAATAAGTATCTTAACACATACCCATGACTAGCGTTGACATCCTCGAAGGTGACTGATCCATCTCGCGGCCACTCGTCCAACGATTCCGATGTACGGGAATCATCGTACGGATGGTATCGACAACCATCATGATTGTGTTCGGAATCGGCCCTGCAGGTTGTGACAAATGAGTTGATGCGCCCTATCGCGCCAATGGAAGTTTCGAGATCTGTGAATGAGCGAACTAATAACTTGAGGCTTCCCGCCAGTGTTAACTATCACATAGACCGTTAGCACGTGATCACACGAGTTGCTAACAGCAGGCATATTTAGTATGAGGTCGAAACTCACAAGAGAAGTGAGTGTGAGGCCCAGAATGCCCGGGTCGACCGAGTTTTTGAGAGTCACTGTGGCGGAGCAGGCGATGATGGCCAGCACTGCCACGAACAAATCCAGCACAACCTGTAAGAATTGCTGGACTGCATACATCGTGTAGAAAGGTCTCTGACTTTCGTCGAGGAGGCGCAAAAACTTGTTGTAGAAGTGATCCTCCCAGCCGAAAGAGTGGATGGTGCGATACCCTTGCATCGACTCGATGGCATGGTTGAAAATCGGTGATACAGAGTTGAGGTCCAGGAGTCGCACCTGGTAGGAAATCCGCAGGTAGGTGCGACATACGAGCCAGAAGGCCACGCCGAGGAAGGGGATCGCAATTGCGGTGTATACTGTTGCCAGAATGGCAATGAGAACATTCACCATGACAAGAAAGATGGCTGTCGGGTTGTGACAAGGCGAAGTTAGCGCCTTTCTCCAGGGCGACGTGGGATACTACAGAGACGCCAAGGCTCACATGCCCGACGGACTCACCTAGGCTAGCAGACGATAGTGCAACTGGGAGTTCTTTGTCCACCAGTCTCAGATCTTGAGTAAAACTGTTCATGATTTCTCCTTGATCCCTCGTGGAGAAGAAGGACATGGGAGAACTTGAATTCGGGGCCATCAGTCGATGCATTACAATTACGAGATGAACATAAGATGAACCTACTTGATCAGTGCCTCCCACTGCACCTTATGCAACTGGATACTCGATGTACCCACACCATGGATGTAGAAATGCCTACATCGGGGTTCGGCAGTCAGCAGCGGTGTAAGGTAGAGTAACGAATTTCGGGAAATTCGACACGGTGGTGCCTGGGTGATAACATACCAATTCCAGCTGAAGATCAGAATCAAGGTCATTGAGACGAGAGAAATATAAACTCCGAGGTGGTTGTAGGCATCATGAGAGTGGTATTCCGAGATCCTCTTGAGCTCAAAACCTGCCCAACAAATTGAATCAGTCCACGGGGCTTTCAGCAATGGTGGCTAGGGCACTTACTTCTGGTGAGCGATGCGACAGCAATTGAGGCAGACAGGAACATGAAAACGATGAAGTTTGTCCTCCCTAATGAGGACACGTAGAGTTTGTGTTCTTCGAGAGAGGCTCTGGATAGACGAACAATATTAGCCGTCCAATGGTAGGAGTGGCGATGTGAATTAACATGTGAACTTACTTAGGCGCGGGATCGCTTTCCAATACCGTTGGTGCTCTCATCGTCCTGTCCCCTACAGCATCGGTATTGCCGCTGGTGGCATCCTGAAGTCCTGCGCACTCTTTTTCCACTTGCAACGTGCTAGTATCACCTGCATCCAACAGCACTGTTTGGAGCTGATTGTCACGTCTGGCAGCCGAGCAATCAGACTGCGCGGGTCGTTCAACAAGATCCTCTGCCGCTATTTCGAAGACACGATCTGCCAGGTGGAGGTATTTTGCTATAGTTTGATAGTGTAATCAGCACTCCGAACAGAGAACGGAGATCTGCAGGATTCCACATACCCACACTGGTCGTGAGGATGACTGTAGCCCCTGCGGCCTTGAAATATCCCCCTGGGCCTAAAAGGGTTTCGCCAAGAATACGCTCACTGTTGGCGTCGAGACTGGCCAGAGGGTCGTCGAGTAGAAGGACCTTGTTCCGCGAGTAGATAGCTCGTGCCAAAGCCTGGTTTCATCAGTACAGCCTTTCCACAACCTAAACACGCAGACACGGATTGGCTCCGTGTCAGATGGCTACTTACGACACGCTTCTTTTGGCCTCCACTCAAGCTAGCCCCATTCGCGCCGACCAGCGTATTCACGCCCTTCTCAAGCCCCGCGATGTCCGCGGTAAGGCAACATATGGAGAGTACGCGCTCGAGCCAGTTCCGGTCGAGCCTCTCGGCGCCCACTATGACATTCTGAATCGTGTCGTCGAGAAGCCAGGGGCTTTGTTCGCAGTAAGCGGCACTGGTGAAGCTTTTGGCGATCGATGCTACGGATTTGAGGGCCTGCGCTCGGCCTGCGATGATGTCGAGTAGGGACGATTTGCCGGAACCAGCCCTGTTTTGCGCTGAAATCAGCGACGATGAACCATTCCAAAGACGAATCCGGATGTCCAAACCCTCAGAGAGGATGCGGAGTAGAAGAGAGGGGAAAAGAAAAAGGAACACAAAAACGGTTAGAAGCCGGAGAGGAGACGACTACAATGGTATAGTTGACTTACTGTCCGTAGATGAAACAAATATCGGCCTGTCGAACATCAAAAGAGACGTTCCGCATCAGGGGCCTCGACCCTGTCCAGCCAATTGTCCCATCCTTGATATCGAAGACTGGTGGCTGCTTCTCGCCCTTTATTTCATCCCAAGACTTTTCCAGAGCATCCACCCCAGACATGTCACCAAGCTGCGTCAAAGCAGTAGAGGTCACACCAGAAGAGCTCTCTCCACCCTGGGCGAGGTACGCTTGGATCCTTTGTAGGGATGCCATGGTTGCTCCCATCAGTGGGACAGAGGCGACCAGGGTCTGCAAGGAGCTCATGGGCAACTGCAAGATTGCCAGGGCCGTAAACATCTTGCTTGCATTGAGTTCTTCGCCCGTATATTTTGAAAGGAGAGCAAATGTCGACAAGGTAGCCAGGGTGATGCCCAGCGTGGATACGTTGGCTGGTAGAAATGCAGTGGGCATCAGTGTTCCATCATTATCCAACTTGAAGGAACACTGCCAGGGAGGAGATCGTACCAAGAGTCGATAAAAGGCTCAGCATCTTTCGAAACTTCCTGATTTTACCTTCAGTATTATAAACTTGGAGACTGAGCCGGGGGTTTTCTCGGGCCACGGTACGCACTTGCTCTTCTCGACTTCAACGTGTCGATATCTCATGACCACGTCCGAGATCATCTTGGAACTTCCCGACATCTTTATGCCAAGCATGTTCCGAAGCACGTAAAGGGTACCTTCCGACCTCTCGGCTGTACTTTGAAGCCATGTCTGCTGGAGGGACTTGAGGTACTTTGAAAGGAATGACGACATGGTGGTGACGGCTTCAGGGAAAGGATAATCGTCGTTAGCAAAATAGCGACGGTATGTTGTGTTGGCATGTCGGAGGCGGGTCACATACCGAAAGTACATATGAGGGGAGATAGAAATCTGCGAGAGAGTGTCAGCCGCCGGTAGCAGTTTAGAGAACCCAAATTCATCTGGATCTTTCTGATGTCGGTGAACTCACGCCAGGCCTACTTCTTGGTACAGCATCCACATTGAGATGGCAGCGGTGACGGGGGTCGCCCAGAGTTCGTGTATCCACAGGAAGCCCTGCAGAACGGCATCAACGTCAGAACTCAGAAGGCTGACCATTGCCCCATTTCCGCCGTCTTCTTGGGCCTCCTCGGTCACCAGAGCCCGCTTGAAAATAGCGCTGAACAGCAGCCCTCGTAGACGAGTGACATCGCTGTTGACAGCGTGCCAGTAAGCACCCGATACCACTGCAGACCCAATGTATATCGTTATTACACCCAGGACTATGAAGATGCCGTGCTGCCTGCTGCTCTCAGAAGGGGTCTCAGAGAACTTGAGGGTAGCCCGAATGATCATTGGCTGTGTCAACTGTACTGCCAAGAGCAAAAGCCTCAGAATGACGCGAGTAGTGATGGATAGACTGAATGATTTGAGTATTTTGCGATGAAGAGTGTACTGTGATTTCGAAAAGGGCGCGGACAAACAGGCCTTCTCGAGGACGGTTTCTTCAACAACCCCAGAGCTCTCTATCCGAATCCCCTGCTTCGTGGCGGGTAGATCTTTGATTTGCAAACGGGTACTGTAGCCCTTTCGAATTGTGCGGTAAAGCCACCCAAACCCGAGTCTCGAGATCAACCCAGCGTTGTCTTCGGCGGTAATATGATTTACCAGAGGCAGATCTCGTGGTGGCCGGGCGAGCTCAAGGATCGCAGCCAGACATTTCAGCGATGCCAGCGCGACGAAGCCCGGGCCTAGCTTTCTGTCTGCCGTGCACGCAAGACTCAAGGTGCGGGCCCGGAGCAGGTCACTCACGAGACCAATCGTCAGGTATGCCGTGAATGGTCGCGGAGCGTTTGACCAAGACGTTGTCGCCGCTTCCAAGGACGTATTGACAATCAATAGTGACGCCACTGCAACCGACGTCAAGTCTGATACGAATGAAATATTGGTCTGGGCACATGGGCGAGTAGCCGTCGCCGTGATTTGCGCTCGCTTACGCAGAATCATGAGGAGGCCTGCGAGTATGAAATGAACAGTATAAACTATCTGTTCGGGCGGTCAGCGACTCTGGAATGTATATCCGAAACACCGTGAGATCTCACGCCGTACCTGCTTCATCCAATACAAGCGACTAGTTGATTCTCGCAATGGCCACCATCGCACAGTTGACGTCTGCACCATCCTCAGGTATATGACGACAAGAATGAAAAGTCCAGGTCCCAAGGACAAGGCTGTCTCTTGGAATAACAAGGTCAAGTCGGTGCCCCGGACACATGTTTCTTTGACCAATGGGCCGATGGACTCGTCGTTGCAGTGATCGGATGCTTCCATGATGCGCTTCTCTTCTCTGAACCTGGCTACGCGTCTATATTTGAACGAGCAAAAATGAAGTTAGCCGTATAACAGCAAAGTACACGGCCTTGGTGAGCAACCTGCTTTGCTTTGGATCGTACCATGGGGCTTACCTACCAATTTTTGCGGCAGGTTACCTTACGCCCCACAGCGTTGTTCGTCGACACACGCTCAAGACTCGCGCAGAGGCAGAAAGCAACCTCGTGGTAACTGAGGGTGAAGCACACAGGACAAAATCTTGAGGTCCAACCGGGGTTCAGGAGCTCCGCTCGCAAAGGGAGACTCTTCTGTTCCACCTGGCTTCGGCTGTATGCAAACCAGTTCAAATTACGCACACACACACACACACACACACACACACTGAGTATGCAAAGACCTGTACACAGCAGGCATTCAAAATTTTTCCCAAACGGGTTGCACACAATGGAACTCCAGGCACCCATGATACGCTCCTTCTCGGGCCGGAACTTAGGAATACCGTGGTACATCTCGTGAGTCAAGGATCGCCAGCGGTGGGGGACTACCCTGTAGCTGAGAAACTAGATTTCGTGATACATAGATGGTACTTGCCTCGTGGGTGGATCTACTAGTGGTAAAGCATCCTGACGGATACGGATTCCTGCGGGGTTGAGCTGGTAGGTTTCCGTGCAAACCTTCATACTGCGTAGTGCATATTTTCCGCGGAAGTATGCCTGAAGTGTGGGTCTTGATCCGTCATGGGTCAAGAATTATAGTTTGCATTTCCTGCATTCGGGAGCGGATAACAGAGAGCCCTGAGGCCTAGCAAGTTGATTTGGCTCCATGTGCGGCTCGTGCCGAGACTATCCTCCCGATTTGGGTGACATATTCTTGGCAGCTGGCCAGCCACGTAGTAATGCGCGATGAGACCGCAGAAATGCAGAACACGGTAGTAGAATAGATGCAAAGCTTATACTAAGCTTTTAGTATACGTAGTTGTACGCCAGCTGGCTGTGTCAGGGTCTTCGCACTCTCCCCGCGTCGGACTCAGACCTGTATCGATCGACCTCGTCTCGTTCTCACCTAGGCTGCCGTTGCCCTCTTTTTCGACCTTCATCTACTGCCTAGCGACAATGTCAGAAAAGCAAAAGCAGGTTATATCTGCGGTGGCGAATGATCCATGGATCAAAATTGCTGGGATCGATGCAGATGGTGTGTTGCGGGGCAAGGATATCGCCAATTACAAGTTCGTGAAGGCTGTCCAGTCCTCCGCCGGGGGGATCCCGATGTGTAGTGTTCTCTTCGGTTGGGATATCGAAGACGAGGTAGGCTTCTTATTCATGCAATTGCCACTGGTCTCAAGAGGTGTATGAAATACACGAGTCTAGTTGTGATCATCCTCCAATTGATCAGCAAATCCCCCTTGGCACCTCGTGAAATAGTCAGTCAGTGCATAGTTAGATTCACTAATACAGCCATGACGTGTAGCTGTACTATGACGCTTCGCTTCCAACGTCGAACATCAAGTTCGGCTACCCAGACTTGCTGGCTAAAATCGACCTGCACAGTTATCGACGCATACCATGGGAGAACAACATGCCCTTGTTTCTCGTTTCTTTCCACAGTCCGAAGACTCTAGAGCCGCTGGATCTGTGCCCCCGGAACGTCATTGCATCACAGATTTTCAAGGCAAGGAGCCAGTATGGCGTAGAGCCCCTAACCGGGAGTAAGCTCACTACCCCAAGCAGTGCTGGAAACACCAGGAGAAGAATGATAACTAACGAGGGGGAAGCTAGTCGAGTACGAGTTCTTCCACTATCGAGCTGATGGCAACTCACCACCCTCCAACCACAGCCCACCGCAACTAAGCCGGGGATTGTTTACGTACTCTCTCATCCGCCCGGCAGAAAACATAGCGTACTACCAAGCCATTAAAGACATCACTCACAAACTTGAGTGCCCTATTGATGGTCTCCACACAGAGTCGGGGCCTGTTTACGAGGCCTCTCTGACATACGACAGCATCGACAAGATTGCCGACCGCGGCCCGCTTTTCAAGTATCTTATCAAGTGCATCGCGCCACAGTTCGACATCACGCCGACATTCATGGCAAAGCCGACGTCGAACATGCCAGGCAGCTCCGGCCACGTGCACATCTCCCTAGTGGACTCCAAAGACCGGAACAAAAAGATCTTTGACAGGCAAGACAGGGACACAAATGCTCGCTTCCCGGCCCTCGAGTACGTCAGCGACGCGGGGCGGTCGTTCCTGGCCGGGCTCCTCGACGGGATCCCGGATATCCTGCCGCTGCTCTGTCCGACGGTGAACTCGTACAAACGGCTCGGTCACCGCCAGCACTGGACCGCAGACACCGTGTCGTGGGGTGTCGACAACCGCAACGCAAGTATCCGCGTCATCGCGGGTGGCGCCTCCGGCGGGACGAGATTTGAGTGCAGGGTGCCCGGGGCAGACGCCAACGCACCGTATGTTCTCGCGGCGTTGGTTGGATGCGGGCTAAGGGGGATGGAAAGGAGACTGGAGGTCACCAGCCCGCCCTTGGAGGAGGTGGATGAAGTGGCGTCTCCTGGGAAGTCTGGAGGCGTCAATGGAGAGACGCAAGGTCAGAAGAAGGGGCTGAGGACCCTGAGCCGCACGTTGAAGGAAGCTGTCATCGACATGACAAGGCATGAAAGTGTTGCCAGAGAAATATTCGGTGACAAGTTTGTTGAACAGTTTGCTGCCACGAGGATGCGAGAAGTGCGCTGCTACGAGGACGTGGTCACCGACTGGTATGTTTTCGGCCCCAAAACTCCCATGTATCCTCGTGCTAATAATCTGCTTTGGCGGCTTGCAGGGAGGTATCCAGGTACCTTGAACGAGTCTAGTCGTTGTTGCCTTTGTTTGCAGGCAAAGAGATCTTGGTTGTTCCAGAAAGTAATAGAAATACATTCATCTTTTTACCACATACTCTAATTGTCAAATTTGAACTTCAGTAACGCATTGGCACTCATTCACACATAGACATTATCACAAGCTTATAACACATTACACAGATAAGTCGAGTCGAGTCTCAGGTTCCTCTACTCATACCACTACTTAACAACCTATTAAGAATATAGTTTATTATATAGTAGGTTTAAGTTTTATTTATCAAACTATAATAATACTAAATAAATAATATTAAAACTCTATATATAATAAATTTACTTTATAAAAGTTTTAAAGTTATTTTAAATTATTAATCTTTCTTTAAATATAAAATTATTATAATTTTATATAAATTATATAATAACCTTTTTATAATTAGTATTAAATATTAAATAAAATATTTAAATTTATATTAATATTAATAAATTTATTTAATAGTATATTATAATAAATTAATTATTATATATTAATTTATATTTTATATTAACTTTAATATTTTATTTTATAATATAATATTATAATATTATAATATATTTTAATTTATAATATATTTTAAATTTATATATTAATTTTATTTATTTATAATATTCTTAAAGTATTATTCTTTTAATTATAATACCTCTTATAAATAAGCTAAATAGTAGAGTAGGATATTAAGTAAAGTAGGAGAAAGTAGGCTCTATAATATAGATTATCTACCTATATGAGACAGCTAGCCTTTGACCAACTCAGCATCCAACTTCGCCCAATGGACACCCTTAGGACAATGCTTATAGTGGTCAATGATTGGGAACCCGTCAACATCGTCGCCCTTATAGTTGTAGCACGCTGAGTACTGCTTCGCCCACTCCTCCAGCTCGCTGAAGTTTCTACACATCCGCATCTGCCCGTTCCCTGCTACAAGTTTCGCACCGGGACCAGTCCAGCGGAGATTGTCATCAGCATCGCACATGATGTCCTGCCGGATGCCGTCGAGGCAGTGCATCAGGTGGCCGAAGCCGCGGCTCTGGGGAAGATTGTCGCGGGCCTCAATGAGTGCGATGCGGATGTTGCGCTGTAAATGATCAGCCAAGTATTCCTACCCAGTGCTTTCCCTAGCGTTTGAGTCCATGGGGCTTGGAGTTCGGCTTACCAGACAGTGGAAATTGTGGTGGCTGGCCAAGAGATATATCCCCCTCGAGTCGTCCCAAGCAAATCGCTGAGCAAGCATGACTCCATGTGCGTCGGCCCACTCGTCTGTCATGGCAACCACGCCACGATCTTCGCTCACATTGTCCCAGGGAGTACCCCACATAGGTTGATCGGGGTCGGTGTATTCGAAGTCCTCGTGATATGGTATCGGCACGTTGCGGCGGAGACCGGCTTAGAAGCTCCACCATTAGTATGCACACCTCGAGCCTTCATCCGGGGCGACGTGAAAGAAAAGCCAGACTGACCATGAGGGCTCCGGAAGTCATCGACTGCAACGACACGAAGCTGTAGGCTGTGCAATACGGTGAAGACGTTCCCCAGCATTGACACGACAAGAGCTGCGATGAGGCCTCGATTCAGCAGCTTCGGACTCGAGTAGAACGATTTATTCGCTGAAGCAAGGTCTCTTTCAAATCCCTCTTGATCATTGAGCGGGACTTTCTCGTATTCTTCCGGCGACATGTTGAAAGATGACTTATGAATTGGGCGTGGTTGACAGTGAATGTCGTAGAATCAACCATCGCAGTGCATATAATGCACGACCTGGGAGATTTTGAGTGGGTAGGGTTTTTTAAGTAGCACGGACTGATCTCACGTCCTCTACAAGATTGCATCTGCATATGCTTGCGTTGCGATGGAGGTCACTGAGCCTTGACCAGAGTACCTGGCGTCCCTCAACCAAACTCTAGCCAGATTTGATGCCGATCATACCAGATTGGAGCTCGCCTCCCACATTTCGACCACTTGATTCCCACCAACGTTGCGCCTAAATCCAACTACACCTAGTTCTAACCAGTGGATTGTAAGCTTTTCCAGATACACTTATTTACATTCTAAGGTACTAAAAGTACACTAGTAATATAGAAATATTATATATTATTAACTTTTTATGTGGTTTCGCTTCTATTCTGTATACATCCGAGGATATATACGGAATAGAAGTGAAACTACATTATTAACTTTTTATATAACGATTATTAAAATAATATATTATATTTATTTTATAAATATTTATTTAAGAAAGTTAAAAATAATAATAAAATTAAAAAAGTATTTTTAATATTTATAATTCTTTTTATATTTAATTTAAAGTTCTTTTTATAAAATAATTAATATTTAAATAATATTATTTATATATTTACTTTTATAATATACTAACTATTAAAATACTTTTTTAATTAAAAGTATTAAATAATATAATTTTTATAAAATTATATCTCTAATTATAATATAAAAGAAAAATATAATAAAGTTAAAGTTAAAATATATAATATTTATATATTATTAATACACTTTTAGTGTCTTAAAATAGAAATAAGTGTAAGCTTTCATTATATAATTTTTAAAAATTAGTTAGTAAGGTAGTAACTCGTCGTTTCAATAAGGGAGAGGCTATCCTGCCACCCTCCCCTCTTTATTTTCTTTTTAATTTTTAAACACATTCAAATCTAGGACACACGTCAACAGCAGGTCTCATCGACCGAGTTAGGCCATGTAGTCCGGTACCACGTTACACTAGGGCGTGGATGGGCTGGAAAGCATGTTTGCCTGAAATGTCCGTAACTGTCCGTAACTGCACACTCGGTCGTACCTAGGTATTCTTGGCGTGGGTCTCCTGCCTTCCCGTCCGCCCGTCCACGTACAGTGGGTGATGCCGAAGAGCATCGCAACTACCGAAGGTTCTATTCAAATTGTCTGAAGCTCTTCTACAACCTTCAGTATGAGTGCCACTTAATAAAGTTTCACCACTACCCTATGTATTAGGTTTGAGAGCCACTCGCTCAGTTTTCATCCAACCAGCCGCGTAGCCACCCACATGTTCTGCAAGTCGCCACTCGAAGTCGCAAGCATAACTGCATCAAATTCGCAGTTCCAGCGTGACCACTTGGGGTGGGGTGGGTCATCATGCTCTGGAACTTCCCGTGTTGCATAGCAAATATAAGCGCTGGTCTAGGACTTCGAGCTCAAAGTAATTGATCGATGACGGAACCACACCATCTTTTCCGGATGGAGCGGGGCTGAAGTCCAACCACCAGATCGGCGGATACGAATACTGTCTATTAGAAAAAGAAGTCGGTGTTCCTTTGCATGAACCCCATGTTCATGCATTGGACCGAGGAAAGGACTTTAGCGTGGAAGTATCTTTGATTGTGAATATGGCCACTCGGTCGATGTTTATTATGCTTATCGCTTACTCCGCGTCTATCCCAAGTCCGAATCCTAGTCCTGGAGCTCCTGTGAAGAGGTTGGTACTGGACGAGACAGAGTGTGCGGAAATTGAGCAGCTTCTGGCCATCCTGACAGGCTAGAGAAGCGAGTTAGTAAGTAGTCAGGATGTTACGCCCATGGAATTGGTGCTCGTACTTTGAGGCCAGGTCGGGAAATATTTGAGTCCATCCATTGGAATAGAACCCGACAATTCGAAAGACCTGAGTGACATCAATATTGTGAATATACGGCCAGGGTTCCAAGGTTTCCATAATGAGTCCACTGACTTCCAATTCCTATGCGTTTTCTCTGGATAGCACCGAGGCCTGGGCACACTATCTGAAATACAGGCCCCCATACCCCGAGTCGCTGTGGAAGCAGTGGCTAGATTACCACGGCGCCGACAACGCCCTCGATGCCGTTCTCGAGGTCGGCGCCGGATGTGGTATCGGCACGGCGGGCCTCCTCGCCGCATCCGCGAAACACAGGTCACCGGGAAATAAGCCGGTGGTCCGACGTGTCTACCTGTCCGACCCCGGCACCGCCAACATCGCCGCGGCAGAGGACATGCTGAGGCCACAGGCATATCCCGGCGTGGAGCTAGTCTTCCATCAGGGTCCTGTCGAGGCGGGGATACCCGGCCTGGAACCAGGAACTGTCGACCTGGTCATGGCATGCACGTGCCTACACTACACAGAGATAGACAAGGCCATGGCCCGCGTTGCTGAGGCACTGCGCCCCGGTGGCACCTTCGCGGCGGTCACATACCAGGTGACGCCGCACATCCGTGGCAACGAGCGCCTGGCGGAGGCGTTTCGCCGCTTCGGCGACTGGAACGCCGACAGGTCCAAGGAGGACAACCCCCTCTATCACGACGAGACGTGGCAGCGCCCGCTGAGGCAGGCGTCGGTGGGGCTTGACTTTGTGAGGTTTGACCCGGCGCTTTTCGAAAATGTGGAGCGGTATTATTACAATTTGAAAGACGTCACCTGGCCCCTGCAGGCGCAGTGGCAGCGCAGGGCGGGGAGGCCAGTGGTAGGCGTTGATGCTGCGCGGGAGAAGCTGGAGTGGGTGGAGAACTGGAAGGATTGGGAGAAGAAGAACTGCACGGTCGATTGGCTCAGGGACATGCGCCGGTCGCTGAATGGAGGCTATGACCGGAAGGCATTTGAGTCTGACGCGTGGAAGGAGGTTCAACAGGTGGCAGAGGAGTCTGGTGGGACGTTTCATGTCACTTGGCCGGTACACGTTGTTTTGGCGAGGCGGAAGGCGTCGTGATTTTGACAAGCCTCCCCGATATAGGGCTAGTTGTGACAACCCGTGTGCCAGATCACTAATAGTTGGACCCGTATGTAGTGTTTGAATATCATTTGTGCCAGACACCCGATGCTCACTGTAGATACACAGGATTCGGGAGGGTGAAGGCCCAGCCTCTATTTATGGTCACTCACTCATCGGCGTCAACACACAGTCAGAGTTGACTTGACATGCCTTTCTATGCGAGAAGAAGCTCCAAGGAACTGTGGCGGAGAAAGGCCCTACGGCCTGAGCCGCCTCCTTTAATACAAAGCAACGACAACAGACACTGTGTTGAAATGAGATGTGGTTATCATCTACCTAGGTAGACACGTTTATTTTCCAGCACTTAGTTTTGACTGGTTTGCGTCTACGATTTCAAACCAAAGTCCTAACAACGGAAATTTAACAATCCCCACTCATCGTGTTACATGGTATTGCGTTTCGAAATGGAAGAATGAACGTCCAGTGACCCGGAGTACCTGCATCATAACCCATCCAAGAAAGGCCGCGCATCCTCTTCATATACACACTCATCAAAGGCAGGAGTGCCTCTGGTATTGACCTCGTCAAGAGGCGGCCCGTCGTCAGCAAGAATCATCTCGGAGCAGTGCTCAGTATGATTCATGCGGAGCATCCTCGTGCTGAGGCCCCCGCCGCCCTTGACCCCGTTGGCGATCTTGACGATCTTCTTCCACATGAACGCGCAGTGCCAGACGTGCTCCCGCCATGTAGAAAACACAATTTGGTCGCCCTGTACCACGACCTCGTGTGGCACGGGACTCGTGCCCTCGATGTCCTCGAAGTAGGGGAAGCCCAGGCTCCGGAACTCTTCCTCAAGCTCCTGGTCGACGCACGGCTCAGGCAGCCACGCGTAGGACATGAGCTCGAACTGGCACCCGGCCGCGCGGGCCTCCGCGACGGTGTTACCGCAGTACATGTATTGCTTTTTTGTATTCGGAGCTGGCTGGTCTCGCTGGTTGATGGTGTGGTCCCAGACGTAGTATAGGGCGAACAGGACGATCGGGATGCTGCCAAGGAGGATGCAGATTCTCCAGTTTCGACGACAACGCCGAGTGGAGGTGTTGTTGGGTTGCTCCGACGGGTCGAATTCGCCCACTGAATCTGTTTGCCCTAACAATCGCTCGCCTGACGCATTATCATCGTCTTCTTCTTCGAGTTTGAAGCCCTTGGGCTCCATGGAAGAGCCGCCCTTGAACATGATGGACATGGCAATGGTGCTCAAACAAAATTGGTTACCTGTTCAGCGTGAAATTTCGACCAATTCTGAAGCTAAGTTGAAATGAATCCGCTGACTCATTAATGATACTGTAAGGAAAGACTCGCTCAATGTTGTTGAGCTGTGCGTTCCATGGTATGAGCACTTCCCGTGCCACGGAACGCAAAACACTCGACCGACCGGCCACAAACCGTTTGTCACGTCATCGTTCTGTGAACAGCAGTCCGTGGCATTCTACCAATGTAGGCCGCATGGTTCGCACGTTGTGACTATAAGTTTCGATCATCAAGGCGATTGGCTGTGGTTGCCCCGATCCGAGGATATATGCGGGTTTGAAGTATCTCCCTTGCCCAAACTTTCGAACTCGTTGGGGCGAGTATCCCGAACTCAAAGTTGATATTATCATGTTTCACTAAGCATGCTTGCAATTCGTGCCTCGTGGCCCCTTCTTTCTTTGAATTTTCATGCTTCTACACATATACACACTGCTGAAGATTTGGCAGGGTTATATGCCATGTAGGCCACCTGATGAACGACGAACCCTTGCTGGTTATTGAGCTTATCCCGAAATTACCCCTGTATACCTAGCTGGGGAGCTAGACTCCTCTAGGTAGGTTCGAGAAGTCAATAGTCAGAACCACGGTAATGGATATTCCATGGTAAATTAGCTCGTCAACGGTGCAATAGAGTGTGCTCAATTAGGTCATGCTCATAGTAATGGGCGGCGAATGAATTGATGTCTGTGTGGCAACAATATTCGGTGTCTATGTGGCCGTGTACTTCAAGCAGTTGGTGATAACTTCAAGTTCTTCTAATATGGTAGTTTATTGGGCGACATGTACCCTCGAGACAACACAGCTCACTGCGCGGTAGACTACTGAAAATAATGTTGGAAATGTTAGTAATACAGCTATCTTTTCACTTGTTGTTACCATCTGACAATCGAACTTTTAGACAAAGCCAGCGTATTAAGCACCTAGACGTGCCAAGGCTGCCTCCGGTGGTAGATGAGGTCGTCCGCAGGGGCCCGAGCAGGATCATCCACGCAGCATTTCGCGATGCTATGCCGACGTGGTTCGAGGACCCCGTCATGAGAGAGTGGCGGGGATCGAAACGCATCCGTGACGTGCTGGAACAGGTGAACACGCTGTACCACGCCTGTAGCCAGGCCCAACCCGGTGCCTTCAACCCCGTCTCAGATCCGCTGTGGGCTTCGACGGCGGCAGTGATGCGGGAGGCCGGCCTGCCGCTATATAACAACAACATCAACCTGCCGGAGGAGATCGACGAGAGCTGGCCGTTCCACTTCAAGGAGCTGGAGAGGCTGGTCATTGTCTCCAAGGGCGAGAGGGTCGGCGACGGCAACCCCAGCGGCTACGTGTGTAATCGCTACGAGGCAAACCTGTACGGCATCCGCGCCATACAGCAGGAGTTCCGCAAACAGGCTCCCGGCCGCCAGCCCCTCCTCGTGGCTTCACGGTTCGATCCTGCGATCCTGCAGTATGTGGCACAGCTCCTGGGTCTTGAATACGCCCAACTCGCGCCAGACTGGGCAAGCACCACTTTAGCAGCCAAGCCAGCGGCCATGCTTAGCGGTGATTCCGCTCGACCCATCATTTTTGCCGCAACGCTCTCCAACAATGCAGGCCAGAGTGACGACTTTGAAGCAATCCGCCAGCTTGCCACGGATCGAGATGTCTTTGTCCACGTCGACGCCGCACGAACTTTCGACTACCTGACCTCGCTGTCCGGTTCGGCACGCCGTGGACTTGGCTTGCCGAAATTGGTGTTGTCGCACCCAGAAGTCGGCGTGTGTTCGCAGAAGGCTGGCTGCATATGCGCTGCCAGCATCGTCGCCGGAGGCATGAACGACTCGGCACACCATGCGACCGTGGCTATCAAGCCACGAACCATAGGGGACTGTGTTGGGCGGCGCATCGAATATACTCAGGGACACGACAGCACGATATCCGGATCGCGAGACGGCCTGGGCCCCCTCCTTATGGGGTTGCAGGAGCAGCGGTTCGACCACCGGACGCGGCAGGACATCTATCAAGGCTGCATCCGGAACCGTGCATACATCGCCCAGCTGCTTGCCTCGGCGGGTGCCAAAGTCTCGTGTCCGCCTGAGTCACTGGATCTGATTATCCATCCCACGGGACATCGACCATGGAACGAGATTCCATCGGCAGCCTCCGGGCTCTCTAAGCTGGGCTTCGTCCCCATGGCTCACAAAGACGGTGTTGCCGGGTCTGAGGTGGCGTGGTTCGGAACCGTCCAGCCCAGTATCACGACACGACACGTCCAGCTCCTCATTGGAGAGATTGGAGAGATTCGTGACCACAACCCTAGTGCAGCGTGGGAGCTTCCTGTGCCGCCAGCTCTCCCAATACGGTATCCGCTGCCCAGCACTTGTCACACCTACCTCTCCGAAAAGATGCAAAACTGGCGCAAGCAGCTCGCAGATTCGGCGGGTTACCCCTTCAACCAGGCAACGTATTCGGCCCTGGGACCCGTGGCCGCTCACTTCCTCGATCGCACGATCCCGGAGGAATGGGTCCAGGCCCAAGCCGCTGCTCTACTGACGGCGCGCAAGGCCTCCTTTGGAATTCCGCCCGCCGATGCCGACCTCCTAGCTCAATTCGGCGCCGCCTTCACCACTGGTAGCAGCATGGGAAACCAGATAGGCATCCACGCCGCGCTGGCATACGCGCCACACAACTTCATATACTGCTCTGCCTCGTCGCACTACAGCATCTCCAAAGCCCTCCGCGACAGCGACATCCTGGCGGGCCGCTGGGACACGCAATTCCAAGGCAGTGGTGGTGACGGTCCAGCGGCGACACCCCGGTTCGGGATCATCCCAGTCGACGCCTCAGGACGCATGGTCCCCGCGGAGCTCGTGCGCCAGGTAGCCGCGGACCGTGCCGCCTGCTCTGCACGTGGCCGCCGGTACGGCGTGACGCTTGTAGTCAACGTGGGCACTACATTCTTCGGGGGCGTGGACGACATCGCAGCACTTCGGAGGGCGCTGCGTGGCGAGCTGGGACAGGAGGTCAGCTACGTCCACGCGGACGGCGCCCTCGACTTTGGCTTCGGGCCAGGCCACGCAGAGCTCGTCTGCTTGGGCCCGCCGGGCGGGCCAAGTGTCCGCGGCGATGACGTCCCGGTGGTGCAGGGCATCACCGTCAGCCACCACAAGGCGTACGGCATGATGGTCTCGGGAGAGGTCGTCTACTATGATCCTTCCCACAGCGCCCTACCTGATATTTCCCCGGCAGTCAGCCCTCGCTCTGTGTTTGAGGCTTGGCTATTTCGGCAAATGTACTCAGACAATGACATGGCCAGGCTGCACCGTCACTGCCTGGCCAACGCGAATGCCCTCCGGTCCATGTTGAGTGCAAGGGAAATCGCTGTCCTGCCGAATCAGACCTCGTTGGTTGTTGTGCTGGAGAGGCCAGCGCCCTGGACCCTTGTAGATTTTCATCTCAGGGCCGAGGGCGAATGGGTTCACTATATCTCAATGCCGCACATCACACGGCAAGCAGTCGAGCGATTTGCCAAAGCCGTCATTTCCCTCGACGAACACTACAACGCTGCTTTCCAATCAGCCAAAGTCGCATTCCGCGCCACTATGCGCCGCGGAATTCACCTTGTCCGCATCCGTCCACGGGCCTCCCACTTCTCCGAGGCCGAAACCCTCGTCAACAGAGTTGACACAATGGTGTCGCATCGTGATACAAGTGACTCCGCTACTGCTTCCGTCTCTGATCTGAAAGCAGGCGAAGACGGTCTTCGCAGCGCCCTTTCAGTTGCCGTTTTAGATGAAAAGCACAGTCCTGTTGCCGTCCTTCTTGCACAAGGTAGCAGCCAGAAGGAAATTCGTATCGGTCCGATTTTCTTAGATCCCAGTGTAGCGTTCGTGGGAAAGGACATTTGGGTCATCACAAAACTCATGTTCGGAGAAATAGAGACAGGATTGTAGACAGGACGAACCGGTTATTCTGACATGACTGTTTTAAATATTCTAACACCTTCTCGACCATATATAACGACCACATAACGTACCCGGCCTACATTCCGACCACCCCTTAATTCTAACCACCTCCTCCTTTAACTACCCCTTTACCTTAAACCTATCTATACTACTATTATAATTTTATCCTTCTTTATAATTAAAGTCTTTAATTATTTATTTTTATTATTTTTTTTAAATATTTATTTAATTTTAATTAATATTTATTAAATTACTTTAATATTTATAGAAAGTTTAATATTAATTATATAATATTTATTTTTTATATTATATAAATATATTTTATTTAAATATTATTTTTAAAGAAATTATATATAAAACTTTTAATAACTTTATATATATTTTTATAGTTTTTAAATAAAACTTTAAATATTTTTAATTATATATTTTTATATTATTAAAAGTTAATAATTATTAATAAAAATATAAATATTAAAAAATAAATTTATTATATTTTATTTTTATTATTTTATAAATTATTTTTAAAATTTTTATTAAAAGTTTTAATATTTTATTATAAATATTTTAAAAGTAATATATTTTAAATTTCTTTTATTTTAAATTTTTTTATTTTATATTATTTTTATTATAAAATCTTTAAAATTAATTATATATTTAAATAATATTTTTAAAATATTATATTAAAAGATTTATAATAATAATATTTAAATTAATATTTATTTAATTATTTTATTATATTATAAATTATTTATATTTTTAATTTTATTATTAAATTAAAGTAAATAATTAAAGTTTTAAAATAAATTATAATATATTTTTAAAAATTAATTTAATTAAATTTATTATATAAAACTTTTATAATAACTTTATAATTTATTATATTTATAATATTATTTATTACTAAAAATATCTTTTATATTAATATATTAAATTATATTTAATTTATTTAAATTAATATATTAAAATTAAAGTTATTATAAATTATAAATTAATTTTAATATTATTAAATATTATATATAAAGTTATTATATAATTTAAATATAAATTAATTAAAGTAAATAAAATAAAGTTATTATTTTTAATTAAAATATATATAAATTTTAATTTTATTTAAATAAATATTTATTTATTAATTTTATAAATAAAATTATTTAAAAATAGTTATTTAATTTATTATATTATTAAATTAAAAATTATTAAATAAAATAATTATATTTTATTATTTAAATTTATAATTTTAATAACTTTATAAAAAATAATTATTAATAATTAAATTTATAATTATATAAAAAATTTATTTTAAAAATATTATTAATATTTAAAATAATTAATATATTTTTAAAAATTAAAAATTATAAACTTAATTTAAAGAAAATTAAATATATAAAATTTTAAATTTAAATTTAAAACTTTTTTAAATTAAACTTTTTTAAAAATTAAAAAAATTTAAAAGTTTAAATAAAGTTAAATAAAATTATAATAATATAATATAATTAAATAAAAACTAATTATAAAATTATAATTATAAATTTTAATTTTATATTTAAAAGGATTTTATTATATTATAATTTAATTTAATTTTTAAATTTATTTAAAAACTTTTAAATTTATTTAATATTTTTAAAATAAATTAAATTAAAAATAAAATCTTTATATTTAAATTTAAAACTTTTATATATTTTAATTTATTTTAAATTAAATTTATAATGCTTTAATTTTTAAATTATATTAATTATTTTAAATAATAATTAACTTTTTTAAAATAAAATTTATTTTAAATAATTATAAATTTAATTATAAATTATTTTATTTTTATAAATTATTAAAATTATATATTTAAATATTAAAATATAATTATTATTAATTAATTTAATTTATATATAAAAATAATTAATTAAAATATTTATTAAATTAAATAATAAATAATTTAATTAAATTAATTAAACTTTATTAATTAAATTTAATTTATATATATATATATAATATTTAAATTAATATTTATTTAATTATTTTATTTTATTAAAATTTAATTTAATTTTAATTTTATTTTTATATTTTAATTATTATTAATAATATTAAAATTAATTTATAATTTATAATAATTTTAATTTTTAATAAATTAATAATATTAACTTAAATTAATTAAATATAATTTAATATATTAATATAAAAATATTTTATAATAATAAATAATATTAAAAATAATTATAAAATTATTATTAAAAGTTATATATAATAAATTTAATTAAATTAATTAAACTTTATTAATTAAATTTAATTTATATATAAAAATAATTAATTAAAATATTTATTAAATTAAATAATAAATAATTTAATTAAATTAATTTTAAAAATATATTATAATTTATTTTAAAAATATTATTAATATTTAAAATAATTAATATATTTTTAAAAATTAATTTAATTAAATTTATTATATAAAACTTTTATAATAACTTTATAATTTATTATATTTATAATATTATTTATTACTAAAAATATCTTTTATATTAATATATTAAATTATATTTAATTTATTTAAATTAATATATTAAAATTAAAGTTATTATAAATTATAAATTAATTTTAATATTATTAAATATTATATATAAAGTTATTATATAATTTAAATATAAATTAATTAAAGTAAATAAAATAAAGTTATTATTTTTAATTAAAATATATATAAATTTTAATTTTATTTTTATATTTTAATTATTATTAATAATATTAAAATTAATTTATAATTTATAATAATTTTAATTTTTAATAAATTAATAATATTAACTTAAATTAATTAAATATAATTTAATATATTAATATAAAAATATTTTATAATAATAAATAATATTATAAATAATTATAAAATTATTATTAAAAGTTATATATAATAAATTTAATTAAATTAATTAAACTTTATTAATTAAATTTAATTTATATATATATATATAATATTTAAATTAATATTTATTTAATTATTTTATTTTATTAAAATTTAATTTAATTTTTAAATTTATTTAAAAACTTTTAAATTTATTTAAAAACTTTTAAATTTATTTAAAAACTTTTAAATTTATTTAATATTTTTAAAATAAATTAAATTAAAAATAAAATCTTTATATTTAAATTTAAAACTTTTATATATTTTAATTTATTTTAAATTAAATTTATAATGCTTTAATTTTTTAAAATTATATTAATTATTTTAAATAATAATTAACTTTTTTAAAATAAAATTTATTTTAAATAATTATAAATTTAATTATAAATTATTTTATTTTTATAAATTATTAAAATTATATATTTAAATAATATTTTTAAAATAAAATTTATTTATATAATTATTTTATATAATTATTTTATATAATTATTTTTAATTTAAATAAATAATTATTTTTAAATAATTTTATTTATAAAATTAATAAATAACTATTTTTAAATAAAATTAAAATTTTTAAAAATAATAATTTTATTTTTATTTATTTTAATTAATTTATTTTAATTATATAATAACTTTATATATAATATTTAATAATATTAAAATTAATTTATAATTTATAATAATTTTAATTTTTAATAAATTAATAATATTAACTTAAATTAATTAAATATAATTTAATATATTAATATAAAAATATTTTATAATAATAAATAATATTAAAAATAATTATAAAATTATTATTAAAAGTTATATATAATAAATTTAATTAAATTAATTTTTAAAAATATATTATAATTTATTTTAAAAATTTAATTATTTATTTTTAATTTAATAATAAAATTAAAAATAATTTATATATTAGAAATAATTTATAATATAATATATAAAATATTTAAAAATATTTTTTTATAAAATTATAAAAATATAAATAATATATATATATATATAATATTTAAATTAAAAGTAATTAAAATATTAAATAAATATATTTATAAAATATATTTATATTTATAAATTTTATAACTTAAATTTATAATAATTTTATATTTTTAAATAATATATATATTTATATATTATAAAAAATTATTTAAAATCTTTTAAATAAAATAATTTTTATTTAAAATTAATTTTAAAGTTTATATTTATATAAAGTTTAATTATTTAAAATATTTATTTTAAATAATATTAATAAATATTAAAAGAATAATATTATAATTATTATTTAAATAATTATTATTAAAGTTATAAATTAATTATTTATAAAATTAATTAATAAATTTATATATTTTATTTATTTTATTATTTTAAATAACTTTTATATTTTTTATAATATAGAATTATTACTTTATTATTTTCTTTATATTATTTTATAAGTAATTTTAATTTTAAATTAATAATTTTTTATAAATAATTTAACTATTCTTTTACTATAAGTTATAAGGACTATCTTAACTATAAAATAGAAAATTACTATGTAAGGCCGGTAAGACGTCACTTAGGCTTTACGGCACAAGGGCTCGAAGTTTGCACTAAATAGAGTGGATTTAAAGAGTAGGGTTGCCTAAGGAAGAAAGGAAGAAAGGAAGGTTGCGTTGCCCCTTGGGCTTTGGGGCTAGAGGTAATGGTGTGGCAGCCTTATCGATAAGGGGACCTGCAGGGACCCCTACGGGGCCCTCCCGCCACCCTTGACCCCTGGCCCTAACTGCCGGACACGAAGCTTACTTCATCACACTACACCTCCACAGGGGTGAGCGTCTACTACCTTGGTCTCCAGTGTGTTCTCCTAATTAAGTTAAGTGTCGGAATTTTATAGGCCTGAGTAGGTCAAGACTTCAGCATTTAACGTTTATTACCCCTGTGGAGGTGTACTTCATTTGACAACGCCACTATACGTGGACAATTCCTCCAGCATCGCGGCGTAAAGAAGGTGCGCGGATGCCGTCCCCCGGGGCCTCCCACTTTGACCCCACACGGGTCTGTCGGGGGCCCGAAAGAGTAAGTATGTCGTATAAACCTTTCTTGCTCTACAGTGCTGCCGACCGTTTGA